TATGCTATTGTCCAGTTTGACAAGTCCAATGATGCTGAGGATATTATCTCCTTGGCCAACAACAAAGCCCTGAGGTATGGGAGGAACTATCTGAATGCTCGGAAGATGGAGCGTGACATTGTGCCAAGGCCAAGAACCTTTTTGCATAGGTTGGAAGACATAGGATTGCATTTTGGCTGCAAGATCGCAGATGAAAAGTTACATGTTCTGTGGACTGCGAATGATGTTTCTGTGGACTTTGGGATTAAACTGCGGAAATTTATTTTTCTTCTGAAATATCATGATTTGGAATATAAGCTTCAACTCTCCTATGAGAACATTTATAAGATCGAGGTGCATTCTCCACGTGGTCGTACTGCTGCAAAGTATCTTCTGATTCAGGTTCTTCACCTACTTTTTAGTTATTGTTGGAATCCAAATTATTTATTCTCTGAATATTCTTGGCATTCATTTAATCTTCATTCTGTTTAAGATTGGATAGTTTAGCGGGGCATCCACATGGTTAATTTGCTGCTCAATATATGCGATCTTTGTTCTGTTTTTTATATTGAATAAATTGAAGAGCGTCAAAACACAATTGTCTAGAGACTGAGGTTTGTCCACTTTAAGGGTGGTTAACAGGGTAGACCCTTATCACTGAATATCTTCTAAGATTGTTTTGTCGAAGCATGTTTCAGTCCTCATTGCCATGTATTTGAGTCATTTCATGCTTGCTTCTGCAATTGGCAAAAAATTATATCTTCTCTTTTATTGCATTGATTATTTTATCCATTTTATCGCATATGTAATCTTGGAAGAAAGTTTTGTAATGAATTTGTCTCCAAAAATTAGTTATGCGGAGCACCTCGGATTTATAAGAAAGAAGTACGCTGTTCAGGAGAAGTATACGAAAACCCTTTTCTGAACTATTTCAGGGATACCCTTGATGACCAATGGGTCCGCACAACTGATTTTACTCCACCACGCGCTATTGGGCAGTCTTTTACATTGTGTTTGGAGCTTCCTTATGGTCTCAAACTTCCAGATTTTCAAGAAAACTTTCCTGAGTATAAGGAGAGTACAGGGGAATACATCTTGGAGAGTGGTTCCTCTTATTCTTGCAACCCTGATCTCGGTGCCTTGGTTTGCCCTCCTCCAGGTGTCGATGTGCCATATGATATCTTGTTTAAAGTAAACTCTCTGGTTCAGCATGGGTATCTTCCAGGGCCAGCACTTGATGTTACTTTTTTTAGGTTGCTTGATCCACGCAGGATGAACATGAACCTTGCCTGTATAGAGTTTGCCCTAGAGAAATTGTTTCATTTAAAAGAGAGCTGCTCTGAACCTTCAGTGTGGCTTAAAGAGCAGTATAGGAAGTACCTCACATCAAAGAAACGTCCACTGTCACCCATCATGTCCTTAGATTCTGGGTTGGTATATGTACGCAGGGTGCAAATCACATCATGTCAAGTATATTGTTGTGGTCCAGAGGTCAACGTCTCAAATCGTGTACTACGCAATTATCCAGGTGATATTGACAACTTCATTCGTGTTTCATTTGTTGATGAGGAGCTGGATAAACTTTTTGCATCAGATTTATCTCCACGTACGTCCAATGCAAACGGGGTGAACAAAACTGACATCTACAAAAGGATTCTTTCTATTCTCAGAAACGGCATAGTAATTGGTGAAAAGAAATTTGAATTTCTTGCATTCTCGTCAAGTCAACTGCGGGAGAATTCAATGTGGATGTTTGCTTCAAGATGGGGACTTACTGCTGCTGATATAAGAGAGTGGATGGGGAATTTTTGTCGTATAAGAAATGTGGCAAAATATGCTGCCAGATTGGGTCAATCCTTTGGTTCTTCTACTGAAACTCTAAATGTTGGCGAACATGAAATTGAAGTTATTCCTGATGTAGTCAGTCATGATAATAAATATGTCTTCTCTGATGGGATTGGGAAAATTTCTGCTGATTTTGCTAAGAAAGTGGCCGTGAAATGTGGCTTTAAAGGGTGCACTCCATCTGCCTTTCAGATTCGATATGGTGGGTACAAAGGTGTGGTGGCTGTTGATCGGACTTCATATAAGAAATTATCATTGAGGCGTAGTATGTACAAGTATGAATCAGAACATACAAAGTTGGATGTTTTAGCATGTAGCAAGTATCAGCCTTGTTTCCTGAACCGCCAGTTGATAACTCTTTTATCTACTCTTGGGATTCAGAATCGTGTCTTCTTGGAAAAACAAAGGGCAGCTGTACAACAATTGGATGCTATGTTGACTGACCCATTAAAAGCACAGGAGGCTCTGGATATGATGTATGCAGGAGAGAGTACAAACATCCTTAAGGAATTGCTCATGTGTGGTTATAAACCTGATGTTGAACCATTTATTTCAATGATGCTGCAAACATTCCGGGCATCAAAGTTGTTAGAGTTGCGGACCAAAACAAGAATCCTTATTCCAGATGGAAGGGCAATGATGGGATGTCTAGATGAAACTAGAACATTGGAATATGGTGAGGTGTTTGTGCAATTCTCTGGTAAAAGACATATGGGAAGTGAATCGAACCAGGCATTCATTATTGAGGGAAAGGTAGTTGTTGCGAAGAACCCTTGTTTACACCCTGGCGATGTCCGTGTTTTGAAGGCTGTGGATGTGCCGGAGTTGTACCATATGGTGGATTGTGTTGTTTTTCCACAAAAGGGCCCAAGGTAAGGACATCTGGTTTGTACAAATATTCATTTCAAAATTTGCTAGAATTTTTTAAGTTGCTTGCTGAGTGCTACTTTTCCTTGATTTCACTGCATAATTAATTACAAAGATCTTGGCATGAACATGACTTAATGATTGAAATCTTGTTTGTAATGGTAGGCCTCATCCAAATGAATGTTCTGGAAGTGATCTTGATGGGGATATCTACTTTGTCTGTTGGGATGACGAATTGATTCCTTCCAGGCAAATCCAACCAATGGATTATACCCCAGCACCAACTACAGAATTGGATCATGTTGTCACAATTGAGGTAATACTCTTGAAGATGATGCTATTTTCACCATTGGTTTATTATCACTTAGTTGTTGCTTTGAAATTGGTTGGGATAAATTATTTAACTTTCTTATTCAATCTATTTCTCACTGCTTCTAGTGGTGCTTTTCGAGTATTGAGTTGTATCTTGATGATAATTGTGATGGTTTTTTGGTTTGTCTGCCTTTGATGTTTGCTTAAAAGGGAAACTCATTTTGAATTTATTGTGAGGTTGGCGTTCTAGGTAAGCCAAACTTATATGACGTATATAATGAATAATGAAACCACATTAGAAGAGGACTTTACACACAGATGAAAAACTAGCTGAGACATAAATGGCCATTCAGCATCACACTGATTAGGAAAGGATACTCCTTGAAGGAATCCCTCAAAGCATTGAACTAATGGCTTGAATTTCCATGCATCTCCTGATGTATATGCACTTCTGTGATTCAGCTTATTGTTGATTTTCTTTTGGTGCAGGAAGTTGAGGAATATTTTGTGAACTACATGGTCAATGATAGCTTGGGCATAATTGCCAATGCCCACACTGCTTTTGCAGACAGAGAGCCTTCAAAAGCAATGAGCAAGCCGTGTATAGAGCTTGCAAAGCTATTTTCAATTGCTGTTGACTTTCCAAAAACTGGTGTGCCAGCTATAATACCTCAACATCTTCGTGTGAAGGAGTTTCCAGATTTCATGGAAAAGCCTGATAAACCCACCTATCAATCATGCAATGTGATCGGAGAACTTTTTCGTGAGGTGAAAGATGTTGAGCCCCATGGTGGCTCCATCCGATCCTTCAGTCGTGAAGTGGCGAGACAGTCCTACGACCATGACATGGAAGTCGATGGCTTTGAGGATTACATTGAAGATGCCTTCTATTATAAAAGCAATTATGATTCCATATTGGGAAATCTGTTGGACTATTATGGGATCAAGACAGAGGCTGAAATACTCAGTGGCAGTGTCATGAAAATGTCAAAATCTTTCACCAAGAAGAGGGATATGGATCCTATAAACATGGCGGTGAGGTCCTTAAGAAAGGATGCTCGGACATGGTTCAATGAGAAGGCAACTGGTTTAAATTCTGGAGCTGATGATGTGTATGCAAAAGCTTCAGCCTGGTATCATGTCACATATCATCCCAAGTATTTTGGTTGCTACAATGAGGGATTGAATCGTGACCATTTTATCAGCTTCCCATGGTGCGTTTATGATAAGCTGGTCCATATCAAAAATGAAAAGGCAAGTGTGAGAAGGGCTCTAAACCTCTCATCTCTGGAGAGTCGGTTTAGGAATGGCTTGCATTTGAACTGAGGAAAATCAAACTACTTGATATTTGTGTTGTCAGCGATGGTGGTGGTGTAAGTTCAACAAGAATAAAATCTGAGGTAAAATTATGTGTGCTTTTATGTATGCTGGTGATAAAAACTTGGAAGTACATTAGCTTATTGTATAATAGATTGATGTTTGGTTTCTTGTTTCTGATTCAAAAGTGGGTTTGAAAGCTCGCGTTACTTTTCATGACGACATTAAGATAGATTTTAGTTTGGACGAGGCCCTGCCCGCTTGTTGCCATTCTTTGCTTAGCTTGCCCCAACGAATATGGGTGTAATTTTAATTAACATATGGAAAAAGTTTACCTCCTTAAAACAAATGGAGTAACAAATAGAGAACCCAATTAAATTTAAATTTAAAATGTCCGAAATTTTAAAAAATAATAATGGGTTTTGTCTAGTGTCAAAATCCCATTTGTTTTGGGTAGCTTTTCCTTAGTTTTAAGAAGCCAAACTTTGTTTCCCTAATGTTGGACAATTCATTCTTATTGGCTTCAATGCCAAATACATAATAATCTATAATATATATTAACCATCAAGTACCAATCATTCTTAACATACAATACAAGTACGATAAAACTTGTCCAACGTATGATGAAATCCGATCTTTTCTTGAATATTAAGACTGGAGTCGGTAGGTTTGGGTTGGAATCATTTACGCTTAAGAACAGCAAACAACTGAACTTTCTCCTGGCATGTGGAGTTGATGAGGTCGGAAATGTCTAGAAGTTTATGGGTCAATCTTCCGAACAATTCATCCATGACCTGACTTCCAAAGTGTCTGGAAAACATTCCCTCCATCGCCGCCCTTACATGCGTCACCAGAGATGGTATGTCAACGGGACCTTTCATCCATGCTGCTGGGTTTGTCAGCTCCATTCTCTCTATCTCGAAACACCCATTTTTCTCCACTATCCCAGCCATCTCCTCTGGGGAGGCTGCATAAAATGCCAAGTTGAACGAGTCCACTTCACCTTCTTCAATTATTCCCTGCAAATTAATTAATTTCAGTACTTATTTATTTAATTATTCTTTTATTTAATTTAAGTTGTACGTAAGAGCTAGTAATTAATGATAATTATACATGAATTAATGTTACCTCTTTGGCCATATCCATGAGGCTAGACGATATAGAATCGTACAACATACCCGTTGGAATTTGAGAATGAGGCATCCCTTTGGGAATGCCAGTCATGATCATCACCATCATTCCTTGAGGCACAAGTTCTTTAGCCCTCGCATTCAAAAACCTCTCCATGTCCTCCGCAAACTGGCAAGCATAAGCCTCAATTACTTCATTTGGGGCGCTCGTGTAGTGGATCCTCCCTTTGTTCCACGCCGGAGAGGCTTTGTTCTGCAGCTCTTCTGGCAACTTGGAGAGCCAGTGGAGAGAAAATGAGGTGTGCACAAAGTGAATAGACGACTCGGGAAATAAACGGCCGTGGAAGGAACCCGGCACTCCTGCTGCCAAGTATTGCCGGTCTTGTGGGAGAGAGGTGAAGAGGGTATTGAAGTCATTTGACTCTAGGTCGTTAAAGAAGACTTGAAACTCAGGCATTTGATCATCAGAATCATGCGGGCATGATTGGGATATTTGGGATTTGTATTTGCGTTGCATAGCTTCTAGTATAGTTTGAATAGTCATGAAAGTGTTTTGTCCAGTGGCACATCCCAAGTCTGCAAGACGAATGGTGTTTGAAACAGAAGAGTGTGTTTTCATATCAAGCTTCTCTCTTATTTCCTCAATGATTTTTTCTCTCTCAACTCCAGCAGATTGTTTCTGCAACATTAGTGGTTCAAATAAGCTCTAATTAAGTCATATGTTACCACATTAAATTAGATCCGAAAGCCAATTCCTAGTTTAGCTTTCTTAATTTATCCATGCAGTGAGGGACACTCTTTAGATCTGATTAACTGTCTATTTTTTAAGTCTTCATTTATAGATCATCCTTCCAAAAAATCAAACAAATTGAAAATCATTAAGGCATTTAATTGAGGCCAATAAAATTAATGAACACGGTGTTTCAAGAAAGTACTTAAATTTCAATAATTTAATTGAATGATCAAATGATATCGGATTCAAGTTTTTTTTTGTTTTTTTTATTAGAGATGATCTTTGAATGAATATCTACAAAATAGACAGTTTAGATTAATGAAATACGAGGCGGAGTGAGTCATACAAGGGTATCCCTTAGATAAGTTTATTTGAGAGATCGCTCAACGGAAGCTCTATGTATATATATCAGAGAGCTTCCATTGAGGGATCCCTCAAATAAGCTTATTTGATGGACACCCCTTGTAGGGCCCACTCTGGATTGTATTTCACTAATCCAAACCGTCTATTTTGTAGATACTCATTCAAAGATCATCTCTACAAAAAAATCACTTGAATCCGATATCATTTGACCATTCAATTGAGTTATTGAGATTTTAGTATTTTCTTGAAGCACCGTGTTCATTGATTTTGTAGGACACAATTGGATATCGAAATAGTTTCCGATTTGTCTAATTTTTCGTAAGGATGATCTATGAATGAAGACCTAAAAAATAGGTGGTTTGGATCATTAGAAAAAAAAATTGTATGGTATCCTAAAGGGCGTCCCTCAAATAAAATTATTTGAGGAATCCCTCAATAGAAGGGAACTGTATATATATATATGTGTGTGTGGGTGGGTGGGTGTGTGCGCATTTTGCTTATTTGAAACATCAAAATTGGAATTGGCTATTGGAACAAAATGTATTCTGAACTCAATCAGTTCATTGCATATTTGAGTGGTAGTTAAATTTGATAAGATAATTAAATGTTCTTTAGTTTTGGGGACATATAATAATGTTGGAATCGTACGTACATGGGGAAAGGAAGCTCAGGGCTTAAACCCAACTAAAGCAAGGCATATGCAATTCCAAAAGCATAGGTTAACAAAGGCTTTTATATATTGGCATAGAATTTACAAATATATATTAAGCTTCCTCTTTGTTATTTGTCCATCCAGCACTCTGATAAATCAGTGCGGATATATATAGTGGAGGAAGGTGAATCCAAAGAAACCAATATGTCTGATTCTTATTATATCTAAACAAATATTCGAATAGGGAAAAAATAAGCAGCAAAACTCCCATATTTCATAAAAATAGATGGAAGGAAAGAAGAGATGGAAGAGAAGCTTGAGATGAAAAATAAAAATAAAAGGCAGGATAGTCAGGGCTCAGGGCTCAGGGCTCAGGAGGTAGGGCAAGTAGCTAGGCTTGTAGGGAGGGAGGGAGCATATATTCCGCTGCGTATAGAATATTAAACTGAATTGTCTGCGTACGGTTCCACTAAAATTATATTAGTCAATTCTTATATCCCTAGCTGCTTATATTATTATATGCAAATGAATATAATCGGAGCATTTTGGGTCTAATTTGGAACAAAGTCATAAAAAGGAGAGACGAGGCCTTAATTCACTCGTGTGAAACTCGATTCTCTACAATCACATATACTGAAACTCATATATATACCTGGTAGTAGGAGTTCTTGGAGTAGCTGTAAATGCCATTTCCACCGTTCATCGGGAGCGAACTTGTGACCGGTTTTGCCCTATTTTCATGATCTCCGTTGAAGATGTTCAAGAGATCAGCTGAACCCAGCAACTTCCCTTCTTGGTCCCTTTCTGCCATATAGCTGCTATAATTATTAAGCAAGCAAGCGAGTAGATTGATTGATTGATTGAATTAAGTTCTAGTGTGGTGGCCTTATATAGAACAAATTACGGTGAAAAGAGATGCTCATGCGACGTGGTGGTACCACCACAGATGCATGCCTTCACCAATTAATTAATTAATTAATCCTAGCCAGTTATTAGTTAGTTAATTATGATAATTATTTAATATCTATTAGGCAAATTGACATGGATCCAAAGGCTGGCTTGACTTCTATACAAGTTGACGTGGACTAGCTGTTTAATTAAAGCGAGATCTATCGTCTATTCGAAATGCAACTTCAACTACTTTTTATTTTTTCGATGCCCTAAATGAGAATTCAGCAGAAAGACAATGGCCGGTAGTTATTAGTATTATTTACTTAGAGAATAAGACATCAATTTCATCAACTATAAAAAAGGATCAACCATAGATAATATATATTTAAGGATCTAAACGTATGGATTTCATGTTGTGGTCTAGAATTTTCTCCTAGAACGAAAGGAAAAAAGAAACTGAAATCTTTTTTATTACTGATTATTATACATAAAGCCAATATTATTTCCTCCCTTCATTAGGTATAGGTTCTTTCCTCCACTTTCATTACGTATGTCTGATAACATTCTTCCAGAATAGTGAAGCATGAATCGGCTGGATACAATTTGAATTCAAATTCAAAACTTAAAAAACAATAAATAAATCAAGCTTGTAGGATTTAGATGAACAAAATAATAGTAAATTTAGCTTAACCCTTTCAAAGTTATTTTTCCTCAACTACAACCCATCTCCTTTTCTTTTCTTCTTTTTGAATAAAATCCCGTTTTTTCTAAATAAAAAATTCAATGACTAGGATCCAACTTGGCAAGTTACCTAATCAAGCGCAAAATCGAATTTATTGTATTTTTTCGATTCCTAAAATAACTCCAACTAAGCCATTATTGGATTTTGTATATTAACGTAGGAACAAATATAGAAACAATTTTTAATTGGATTGTAACTAATAACACACGTTTAATATGGAAAGATCTCCAAATGGATGTAGGAATTAATTTGGTAAATGTTTTTAAAGTTAACAATAAATTCAAATTTAACATACCTAATCGGTTTATTTAATATATTTAAAGTATATGTGATTAATTATCTATTATATGTGTACATGCAATTTTATGTTGAAAAAATAAGGGAGTTTCACTATTATGCCCAATATAGGTGCCCAAATTATAAAATAAAAAATAAACAAGAAAACCTACATGAAATAGGCTTTAGAAACACCAAAAACTCATTTACAACATAACAAAGAGGCTTCGAACTTCCTATGATTTACAAAACTGTCATCGGTTTTCTTAAAACAAGCTCAACCTCAACCTCAAAACCTCAACAAAAAAACAAAAAAAAATTCCCAAAACACTCAAAACAAAAGAGTAAAACCATAAATTAGTATATTAAGTAAACTCAATAATAGGACAACTGGCAATAGTAGGGTGTTTTTTTGGGTTTGTTGATAGAAATTAAATGGTACAGTGTTTATTTATAACTTTAGTTCTAAGAATAGGTATATAACTAAATTTCTCAAAAAATAACGTACCTATTACTTCTTTTATGAAAAATAATGTACTTAGTATGAATTTAATTCAAATAATATACCAAAATTTTATAAACACATTTTGGATATAATTTACCTAATAATTTCCTATTATGCAATAATATAACTTGTATTTTACCTATTATGGATATATTGTTGGTATATTAAAGTCAACACATTTATACTTATATTGTGAAAATAATTTACCTACCCGTATTAGATATATACAAGATATATAGGTAAATTTGTAGGTACATTATATTCTATTGTATTGATAATAATTTATCTTTTATATATTTTTTTTTAACCAAATCTTTTATATTGTATTGGACATATACATATTGTAGGTATATTAAAGCCAGCATATTAATAGGTATATTGTGAAAATAATTTACCTACATGTATTGGATATATACAAGATATGTAAATTTGTAGGTACATTATATTGTATTGATAATAATTTACCTATTATATTTTATTGGGACGAGATTTAAGGGATTTTTTATTGGTTGAAAATTTAAGGATTTTTTTTTATTGGTCGAAATTTTAGAGCATCCGCAATGGTGAGGGTCATTTCAATTTTATTTCAATAATTTAAACTTTTGAGTTATAGTAGTTAAGTTTAGTTTATTTCAAAGATCAATATTTCATTTCGGGGATTAATAGTTCATTTTAGAGATCAATAAAATGAACTTTGAAATGAAATTCATTTCAACAAGCTGGTCCACCATAATAACTCTACAATCTCTCTCTTACATATGGACAACATTACTTTTTACTTTTTAATTTTTTCATTACATTTAATTAGTGTAAACTAGCCGTTACTTTTTCTTTTCAAAGAAATTAGCCGATTCAATGACCTTTTATATCTTACGGGGCATTTTAGTTTGAATTTGAATTTTATACATAAATTTCAAAATTAATGAGTTGTTGTCTAAAAAATAGAAATTGTAAAGGCCTATATTATAATAATATGTCGTACATATATCAAAAACTACTACAGTTATATTATTTCTAACTAGTACTCTTCCTACTTTGACAAATTTGTCTTTTTCTTCCTCCTTTGAAAACGTACGTCTACTTGCTCTCTCGTAAGGGTTTCTTTTTTCTTTCAGTTTTTGGTAAAAGCTAACTTTGTTAATTACGCGTGTGTGTGTATATATATATATATATTGTATTATTCTAAATATATAAAAAATTGTCACGCATAGGCCCCTGTAATCTATGCAGGGTAAGCAAATCTTTTGCGGGGCCATTCATCTATCTATCTAATGGGTATTTGCTTTATGATAGGGTAGGAAATGACATTTTGTACACAAAAATATAAAGCTTGTATGCTACTTGCTCACTGGACAGCGACGTATATATATATATATATAATTATATTGATACAAGGAAACGAAATGCAACAGGAAAAGGAATTGTGCATACAAGAAAAGGAATCCCATAGTTTTCATGAATTAAAGGACCCAAAAAAAATAATTAAGCTTTTTAGAGAAAACTATGATTAATTAATTTTAAAGCACATTGACGAACACGATGACTGTAAACTCTTATCCTTGGACCTTACTCTAATAATTTGAAGGATGAGGCAACAACATTTGTCCAAGTGGTTTCTAACCGATCGATGACATTGGCAAAGTATTAATGATAATTGACATATATATATACACATATGTAACCAATCATACGTTAAAACAAACATAATATATATTATTGTTTATGTACGTACCAGAATTATAAGCATAAGAACTTGATGATATGCTAATAATATAGCTTATAAAATTCATGCTTAGGTACATTTGTGAGAAAATAAATTCATTTTGTCTGTCATTTCCGGTTTGACTCTATAGATGTGTTGGAGGACCACTTCCTGGGTTTGTACCAAAGCAAATATATATATTGGCAATTTGACAAAGTGAAATTAAGATATAGCTAGGGCTCTGGAGGGAGGACCACCCTACGTATGCACATGCGACAGCACTAGTGTTGAATTTGTGTCTTAACTTTGATGAGGCATGCACACCAATTACCATTTACCATTTACCATTTACCATTTACCATTTACCAAGATGTGATGTGTGATTTGTGATTTGTGTAGAGTGCGAATGGTCCTGTCCTGTAAAGCCTGAACATGAAGAAAATATGCCCTTTTCATTTTCCCAGACATTTCCAGCTCTCACTTCACCTGAGCTTTAAGCCTTTAGTTTTGTTGGAATGGGACTCTCTCTGTCTCTGTCTCTATCAGATGTTTCGCCTGCAAAATGGTGTATGTATATATGAAGATCTGTTGACTTTAAGGAAGCAGGTGAAATAATTGTAAGCCAGCAGCCCAACAGAAGAACATCAAGTCGAATTATTACTAAAAGAATTCATCAGCTTCAGCTTTCGACATTATTAACGGTTGTGTTGTGTTGTGTGGTTATTAGATCAACTGCAGTCTGCATGCATTATATATATGTGTAGATGTATGTAGAGGTCTAGTGGTCTAGTGGTCTAGTGGTCTAGTGGTCTAGTGGTCCTCTCCTCTCTATGCTCTATATTCGTTGTTGTTGTGATCTCAAAATAAGGATTGATTAATTAAGAATATTAATGTTGGAGATAAAAGATTCGCTAGCTTAGTCCAATGGCTGATCCATATTCAAGTAACAAACAACTGCATTGCATATATGCTCTCTCACGTTTAAGCACATGCAATGACACTTCATTCACATACTGCAGTCTGCACCTACGCCCTTAGGTATAGGTAGGTCCCCCTACCCTTTCTCCTAGTGTTGGCCTCATATACGTATAATTTACACTTTTATTAAATTAGTAATCTTACATTACAATTTACATGCATAATGCATTGCATATACAAATAACTAATTAATATATTTTCTGTAGATATATGCTTTACATATACAATATACTACAAGTCATAATATTCAAGTCAAGAGTCAACACAATCAATAAAAATTACAAAAATACAAAAGTCATAATATATTTGCTAAAATATTTGACTTTACAGTCATTTTTATTTAAAAAGTATGTATGTGATTCGATTGTAAAAGTTATTGCGTTCACCCAATATCTAAGTCGGAGGCCCGTACCTTCCTACCTAGGCCCATTACATTAAAACCTATCCAGTCCACCCACAGTATTCCATAGAACTGGGCCTTGGTATGGGCCCCTAAACCCAACATTTTTTTTTTGGGGTCATGACATTGACGACTGTATGTACCCATAACATTTTGGGGAGCTTCTATGATGGAGTCGTATAATGAGGGGTTTCAATGAGGTCGTTCTGGTTCTTCAATCCAACAGTCCAATAATAACTTTGCACTGAATCGAACAGCTATTAAGAACCCCTTATTCTAGCCTCCATGTAACATTTTGACATAGAATAATTGAAGAATGATAGAATCTGATTAATCTGAATATACTTAAAAATACTACCTCCTCCTGAATCCTGATATAAAACTCTGTCTAAGTACTCTGCACATTTACAGTGGCGACCAACTTCGACGCTCTCTTCTCTTGAGTCTTGTCTCCGATATAAGCTACCGAAGAATGAAAATAATTAGGCTTCCCCGACATTAATATTGTACATGAGGTCTCGAAGAGTAGGAGAAGTTGCTGGAGAAGACATGTTGAGTAAAGAAAACTTGACTTGCAAACTAATCTTGCCCTTCACCAAGTTCAACTTCGCTCCAGTGACCAACCAATACCCAGGACTATCCTGTGGGCCCCTACACAGATTTGACATGTCCACGTATTTCACAAACTTCTGTAACTGCAGTGGCACCGGAGGCCCCGTAGGAAACACACTTGAGTCCACAATCACTTGATCGTCATCAGGCTGCACTTTCTCCCTCACCCAATTATTGCCCGAAATTGATGTGCTTATTGCACTGAAGAGGCCAGACGAGGTTGACTTTTGAGAAAGTTGAGAAGGGCTCTCTGTCCAGTTTGATTGGACGAGAAAACAATCTGAGACTTTGGTGAACAAAAGCCGGAGATGGAGAACACTCTTTGTCTCATGTTGCTTCACGACAAGTTGAGCTCCGGAGACTACGAAGGCCGCAGTTTTGTTGGAGGACGTCCATTTGGGGTCGTATTTTACTGGCACCGTGCAGACATGGGAAAATCTTTTCCAGTTTATTGCTTCGAAGTAGCGGTCGTCCCCGATGTCATCTGATCCTCGCCATGTTGGTGGCTCAGGATCTATCTTGTTCTGCTGCAACATAAATGGAGTGTTTGATAGATGTTGTAGGTGCACAGCTAGCCTGAGATAGATAGATAGATCAATAATATTAAGCTACATTGTTTTATCAAAGGGAATTAAGATGATAAATCCCAATGTTTTTTTTTTACCTGTTGCATTTCCTGCCCTCGAGATACAAGCGCATTCCTGTGACAGGCCTATTTCCAACTCTAACCTGATGATCATAATATTATATTTAGCATAACATAATATATAAGATGGATCAAAAGAAAAACAATGGATGCATAAATAAATCGAATTCAGTTTTAGAAATGGAATATAGTGTACCTGTGCAGTGTTTACATATAGTTTTGGACCCATCAAGCTGAAGTGAAGAGCAGGCGCCTGCGTGGCCCTATTTGTGGCAGGACCTAGAGCCAAGTCATTGAGAACAGGAGCCCAAAGTTTGTGGGCTTGAAAGTCAAGAAAGTATTCCAAATCAGCTATAGGAGGCTTGTCTGCACGCGTGTACCAAATTAACAAGAGGTTAACTACTTAATTACAACTACTTTCTATTTTATTTTTAGAATTAAGAAAAAGATAGCATAGGTAATTATGTTTCATAAAAATAGGACCTATTATCTGATTTTGTTTTTAATTTTAATTTTTTAATATAAAAAATGTGAATTTACAATATTATCCTCATTTAATTAATAACTAGCCCATTGGCACATACGTTAAGAAAAGATAACATGGGTAGTTAGTTATGTTCTATAAAAGTAGGACCTATTATATGATTTTGTTTTTATTTTTATTTTTTTAATATGAAAAAATGTGAAGTCACTCAAGCAGCCCTCTTTCGAAAAATTGAGGAAGCTACTTGGAGTGCATTCACTCAAACATCTTGAGAAGGTGTGGGCTGAAAACTTGGCAGAATATGTGATGGTTGAAGAAGCTGATGAAGATTTCGTGATGGTGTCTAAATCCTAAACTGTTTTCAGGAGAAATCAGTTTAATGGAGGGTGTTAAGAGTTTTAGTTAAGTTTTAATTAAGTTTTTCAATTAAATAATGTTGACTAATTATGTAGAGACCTAGTCAAGCATGAGTCCTAGTTTTGTAGGAGTCATGGATGAGGGTGTTCACCATGATTCAGTTTGCTTCCGTTGCTTAGGGATGAGAACTCACCACAAAATCTGTATGTGATCGTGGGAGAGTTGTTTTGTTATTTGTTTTCAGTCTTTCCCTTTAAAACTGTAACCTTCCTTTGAAATTAATGAGAAGAATAGTTCAATATCTTAAGTGTGTTTTTATTCTCTGCCTTTTGCTCTATATATATATATATTTCAATTCTAAATGTTTGAATTAACTAAGGGTATTTTCTAGTATTTTGAATGTTTTACCATTCTCTTCATTTTGCTTTATATGTATAGATACAATATAAGACATCGGCGAGCGATGAATAATTAAGTACCTGAGAAAGAATTAACTTACATCTAAGATAGAGGTTGATGGCATGGGATAAGAAACCTTTGCCGGGCACATGTTTAAGTAGAGACGTGATGGGAATGAAGCTAAATTGAATCGCATCCGGCATCGATCCAACGGTTTGAAGCCACTCGCAGTGGCTACTGGCCAAGGGATCTCCTCCTCTTTTATAGCCTATCACGCTAATACCCTGCAAAAAGTCATCTGCCACATCGTCATTACAACTACTGTTACTTCTTTAAACCCAAACAAGAACAATTGAACCCTAGTTTATTTTGCCATACATCTTTTGTGTTTACGGTGGAGAAACCATTAAGGGCCACAGACTTGGGATCATAATCAAAGACATTGAAGGGCAGTGGTGCCTTGTGTCTTTGGTCTTTTGCTTTGGAGTGTAATGGGGAGAAATTGCATGTCCCTGTAAAGTGCTGATCTCCAAGCTCGTTCAAGTGATTTTTGAGGTCAGATGGCTCCATGTTAGAAGATTTATCTTGCTTTACTAACACCACATCCTCGCCCCCAATACTCAATCCCACCACGATGTGAGTCCCATACTTCTCTATGAACCTGTCAAATGTGTACGTAAGAATTTATCATAAGTCTATAAATTATATTGGTTGACCAAAATGCTTTCCAACTAGACAGCTAATTCATCGAAAACCAAAGAATTGGTCAGGCCAAGAAAGTACCTTCCACAATGGGAAATCAAATAATACAGTACCACCGCCTAATTATGTGACTTGTTGTACTTATTTTTATGTCAAATGGAAAACCAAGCCTTCATGTGAAATGGCAGGCCAAATCAGTTTGAAAGGTCAAATAATGTTTGCAATATGTATAAAGTAATGCTGGACTTATCACATTTTTACAGGATATATTTTAATAATGGTTAAACACATGATCGATCCCCACAAGGCACAACATATAGAGATCCTAGTTTGAACATATATAGAGGGGAAGACATAGGGCTCTCTTTACTTTTATACTAGCAGAGTGTTAATTATTGTGAGATTGGCAATTAGCAGGCATTAAAAGTGAGGATTTTATAAGGTTTGAACGTTCCTACGTGAAACGTGGTCAATCACCAATAAAGGCCAAAACTTTTGACGACGTACGGGGTTACCTATGACTTTTAATAAGAAAAAGAAAGAGTGCATACAAGGAAAGGAAAGCGACCTTGTATATTTTTATGTCTATCCTTTTGCCTCGAAATTCATGCCCCTTCTTCAGGAAATAAACCTAGGATTTGTTACTAAACCAAGCTACTAATTTTGATTTGCCGTCCAATATGACTTTAATATTTTTGTGTATGCTAAGACTATTTTATTAATTAGCAGGCAGATGCCAAAAGATAGAGCTGCAATCATTCCGTACATTATTGTATTATCTATACAAAATATATATATATTTGAGCCTGAAAATTAGGGATGAAATTAAGTTGGACAAGGTGGACGAGTTAGGAGGCCAACTCGAACTCAACCCAAAACCCACTCAATTGGTTTCCTTGATATGAAAAGAAAAACAACTTACAAGTAAAACCCAAACTAAAAAAAACTAAAAATCCATATGATCGAAGTCTTGAATTAATTCATACCTTGCAAGGGCAGGGGGATCCCAAGTGGACGGAACAGAATGACGAACTTGATCGGCAAGAACAAGAGGGTACCTATCGATATGAACATTGAAGAAGATGATGAAGTAACCATCCAGAGCCAAGCGTTTGATGTTGGCTGCATCCGCTGCCCACGAACCACTTTCGAAACCAAACATGGCATTGAACAACCCTGATGGGATTTTCCAAGGCACACTCGCCTTTTGGTTGAAATATTGCGACATCTGCATGAATTATATTCATTTCATGCACTAATGTTATTAATTCAATCGATAATATTATTTGTAAAAGAAGAAACATATCTAATATTATTACCTGATTGAATGTGAGGACATCGGATTGGTAACGTGTACGGTCGCCTTTGTCACATTTAATATCGGTGGAGACTTGTTGAATGGACCCGAAGCCAGGGACTGCGAGTTCTTTTTTATCAGCGTCGTTGAGCAAAACCAGTCTTTGTTTGCCTTTGCAGTACTTGAGCCGGAAATCTGAGGTTAAATCAAACCCTTTGCCTAGGCTGCTTACAGCCATCTCCACGATATCATCCCCGCCACTCATCTCTCTCTCTCTCTCTCTCTCTCTCTCTCTTTTCTGATCTCTGTATCTTCTGACCCTATATATATGAGATGAGATGAGATGAGGTTTGTATATCTCTTCCCGTGTTTTAATTGGATGATAAAGTTGATGGGAAGGAAGGCAAGAATAGAGGTGTGAAGTGATGAAAGGAAGGGAGACAAGTGGACGAGAGAAAACAATGTCCAGGACTTGATTTGTGACATATGGTAAGGTCTGAATATGAAATGGGAAAGAAGAATGTGATAATTTTTTTTTTAATAATAAATATGGTAATAATCAAAAGGTCGTGAGAAGATGTTTGACCGTTCTCTTCTGTCTCTCTCACACACGTATATTTTATTATATATGTCAATATTTTGTTCCTTTATTTTTTGAACCTCAATTATTACTAATTATTAATTGATTTTCTTAAGCAAAGACTGTTGGTTTTTTTATATAAATATATATAAATCCCAGTCCCAGGAGATAGGTATAAGTAACACGTCATTAACCAACACGGTTGCAAAATCATCTCCAGTTGAACGTCAAATATCTAGGAAGGTGGGAGGCAATACACCAAAACAATTTATAATTTCTAAAATTCTCATACTGCTCTACCCATTTAGTCGTGCAATATCACAATCACTTAAATAATTAATTGGGACATGTAGCGTGTGAGTGTGACAGAAGGTGTGGGTTTCTTTCTTTATTTCTTTTGGTCGTCGGTCCTCAAATAATTTGAATGAATTAAAGTATAGTATGCAATAATGCAACTAGTCCAATTACAAATTGCATACTCTCCAAGCAATGCTAAATCCCTACAATACTGCTGGGGGATTGGCCAATTAGTCTAATTACTAGTACTGGTAGAACTGGCAGTACTGGTAGAATTGTCTTCTCCCTCCCTCCAGTGACAGTGTGAAACCGAAAAGGCCAAAAGGTTTGGAATTGAAACAGAGACAAATTTTAGACCCAGTTTCAATGCTATCTCTCTCACCTTTGTCGTCCGTATGACACGACACGTAACTTCTTTATTTGCCGTGTATGTGGTCTGAGACTCTGATGACGTGTCCTCGTCCACCAATTACACTTGACTTAGCTAGCTGAGCTCTCTGAGCTACCCGCTGACTGACGATATGCTGACCTTCTTCAACAATTGTCTGTTTCGATGACTGACTTTTAACCAATTCCTACCTTCATTTTGCTGAGTTTATTTTATAATACACTTGTTCCAGTTGGTGCGTTTATCTATTGATTATATGGGGTTCTTTTTCTCAGTGCAAATTGAATCAGTTACGTATGAACTAGCCAAGTCACTTTTTTTCAGTCTCTCTTTGACACGACCACAACAAGTCCTCAAGTTTTAGAAAAGCCTTTGTGTTCACAAGGATGTTGTGACAGTCAAACAGACAAGACAAGAGAGGCCTAATTTGTGTACTTGGTCAAATCAAATTAAACATAAACCAAACCAGCTATATTATTTTCTAAATGAAAACACCAAAGTTCAACGCGTGCGCTCTGCTCTTTCTTGGTCTGGGCTTGGGACTTTGACAGGGCCAGCCAATGGTGCGTCGGGAGAGCAAATTCTTAGTTTTTTTCTAGGAACAATCCAAGCGAGCCCAGTTTTCTACTCCAAACCAAAGTAAATGGAAAGACCAACTAAAAACCCGAACAAGAAAATTATGACAAATAACACGACAAGGCTTAATTAGCATCTAAAACAACAGACAGGACAGAACAGAACAGAACACGAAGATTATCCACGACGGGCAGGGCGAGATAATTCTATTCAAAAACAGAAATAAGAGATCAGCATGAAAAACAGAGACACAAAATTATTATATAATTTATAGGGTATAAGAATTGTGCCTGCCGAGTTATCAAGGAAAGCACCGCACAAGATAAGCTTATCATTGCCGCTTTGTAAAATTGCTATACTGATGGGATCCGCATAATTACATTATTGCCCAAAACACAGAAAAATCCTACAGGTCCTGGTTTCACTTGCTTTGCTACGTGCTGCTACCATTCACCAACTTCAAATTTCAGCAGCATCTTGGTCGTGAAAAGAGCATAATTCCTCCAGTTAACCGCGCTCTACAATTCTAGATTCAAACTAAAAGTATTGAGTTCTACACTCATGAACACAACCCACCAAAAGGGTTCAAAGTTCAAACGACATTTCTGCCAAGGTTATAAGGTAAAACGAAAAATATGTAATATCATCAATCTGTGTTGAAGCAATCCAGACAACAATCTCTTCGTAAGGGGGGTTTACCCTAGAAGATGGGTCTTCCAAGAGAAGGTAGCCTAGGCAACAGTTATGAATGAACTGCAGCAAAACAAAGTTTGGATTTCATGCTCAAACACATTTACAGCTTTACAACAACAAATGCAAAAGTCTCGGATTGCACAGCTTCTCTTACCACTACAGTAATTTACATGATGAACAAAATAAGTAATAAACACGGCAAAGTAATGCAAATTACACCACTCACCTACATCATGGCAGTTACAAACAGAGAAAACAAGGTGGTGCCCCATTCTTTATCTTTGGTAAGCCTACAGAGGTACTGTCTGCTCTGACACAGATGCCAACCCCTGCAACAACCTAACAATTTCCCCTGTATCATCCAGATAATACTTGGCTTTGCTGGGTTTTCGGCCAACCGTACACGCAAATACTTCAGCTCTGGGTGCGATGGATGGGCCTGCTATGGAACTTGTGATTACCTCAAACATGTCTTCATCAGATCTGTCATCACCTATGCAGAGAACAAAATCCGGTGACATTCCCCTTTCTTGCATGGTGGAAAGTAGACGTTTGGCTACAAGTCCTTTGTTTACACCCTGCACACACACACAAGAATGTTCAGTTTATCGAAATATCGTAAGTCCAATTGAGCCATGTGTTAGCTTCTGTGGTGAAGGCAGCAACGTTCACAATTTATATGAAGAAAAGAAAAGTTTTCACACCTAACCCAACAATCTTGATTCTCAATGGGCATCAACCCTATGAGTGAAGAATACTTGATTAATCACTTATCCTTGGGGAGAAAAAACAAACAATACCGCATCTGTTGTCATGGAAGGGCCATATTGTTTTCAAAATTTTCATTTGTCAAACAGTATGCAATACCTATTTAACATTAAGAAATTTGTATTAATAATTTTGGTATGACCTCTAGTTTGAGCGCAGTCACTCTCTAACCCTCAACCCCCTCCAAACTTCTGATACCTTGACCAACCCAATGTTAAAAACATTGCCTTTCTCCGTTCTCCGTTTCACACGTGCTACTAAGCTTATGTGAATTTGGATACTGATCATACAGGTTGGAGAAATCAAAAACGAGATTTTACAGAACAGAGATAGCAACTTAACAAGGAAAGGGGTATCAAACCTGCGGCTTAACCTCCACTACATTCTGCCCGCTTTTAACATTAACTGGTTCATTAGCAAGCACACTTTCAAGATGATCAAGAAGTTCCTTAGCTTGGCATGATCCAAAATCTGGATCAGCATCCTCATAAGACCACACAAGTGCAGTTTCCTTATCTTCAATGGTGGAACCATCAGTTGTTTCAGTGTAAAGCTTCATTACTGGCTCTGCAATCTGCTTCCAACTGCTATCTGCAACTGGTGCACACGTTTCCCATTCTGCATCTCGCTTCAATCTGAATCCATATAATCATTAGTTTTAATCTAATCAACATTTTGATTGCTGTAAACATAAAACTTGAAATTTGCACAAATTTACCGTAGAAAGTAGCCGTGTTCAGCAGCAATTCCAAGCTTCTCACAGGGAGAGAGCCATTCAGCAAGTATTTTACGGCTTTTTGCACTAACAATGAAAACCATGTTGTTCTTGTCTCTGCACAAGTTATTGAGGATATCGATGGATTTAGAAGTTGGGCTCTTATCAATGGAAGCCTGAGGCATCAATGTACCATCATAGTCAAGCAGGATTGCCCTAGTTGTGGTCCTTTTGTAAGCTGAAACTATATGCTCCATAGAGAGCTTCCTGAAGTTCGAATCAAGGGCCACAACTCTGAAACTCAAACCGAACCCAATACCCCAGCACCTCTGACGCAAATGGCCCCTACATGTTCTTTCCAGATCTTGGAGGAAACTACGAGCCCAGTACCCAACATCATGGGTACTGACATATCTATAATGCTTCTCATGTCGGAGCTGTTTTTCTGGCTCCGCCATCTCTAGGGCACAGTCCATTGCATCTGCCACAGCATCAATATTCCAGGGGTTCACACGAATTGCTCCACTCAAAGAAGGGGAGCAGCCAATGAACTCGGAGACAACTAACATGCTCTTCTTCGGGTTGGAGGGTTCCAACTCCAAAACCTTATCCAATTTCGCATTCCGTTGCCGACTGATTATGTATTCATATGGTATTAGATTCATCCCATCCCTGACAGCTGTCACCAAACAACACTCGGCAACAACATAATATGCAATTCTCTCATAGAACTTGAGTGGCTCATCAATCAACACGACAGGCTTATACCCAGGGTTCCCAAATGTTTCATTAATTCGCTTCACAGTTGAGGATGTCTCAGCCTGAACTTCTTTCACGTCTTTTCCCCGACCCCTGGCTGGATTGGCTATCTGCACCAATACAACCTTCCCTTGCCACTCTGGATGCTGAACAAGCAGCTGCTCCATTGCCAAAAGCTTCAAACTTATACCCTTAAAAATGTCCATGTCATCTACCCCGAGTAACATTATCCTTCCTCGGTCACAGAACTGTTTCATAAGCTCAGCAACCTTGGCTTCAGTCTCTGGGAGGCTCAAAACCGACTGCAGCTGACCCATGTGTATACCAACAGGAAGAATCTTGATGCTAACAGTCCGACCGTAATACTCGAGGCCTATGTAACCCCGCTTGGATTCATAGGTAAGACCAAGCATTCGACTACAGCATGAGAGGAAATGCCTTGCATAGTCAAATGTATGGAATCCAATTAAATCAGAATTCAAAATGGCTCTCAGAATCTCTTCCCTGACAGGCAATGTCTTATAAATTTCAGACGAAGGGAACGGACTATGGAGGAAAAACCCAAGTTTCACGCGATTGAATCTCTTCCTCAAGAAAGTTGGCAACACCATCAGATGATAATCATGTATCCACACAAAATCATCTTCTGGGTTAATCACTTCCATGATCCTATCTGCAAAAATCTTGTTCACTGACACATATGCTTGCCATAAGGACCGGTTAAATCTACCACCGAGGTCCGGCGAAAGGGGTAGCATGTAATGAAACAGTGGCCACAACTGCTGCTTACAGAACCCATGATAATACCGGCTGAAAAGATCTGGTGGGAGAAAGGTTGGGACACATTTAAAGGTCTCGAGAAGAATTTGGGAAACCTCGTCTTGTTCATTTGGGTGAATTTCTTCCTTAAGACAACCAACATAAATGACTTCAATCTCATCATCCCCCAAACCATCTTTCAATTGGAGAAGTAGTGAATTCTCATCCCAATTGAAAATCCAACCCTTACTGGTATCTGATTTTCTCTGCGCCCTTATGGGGAGCTGGTTAGCCACTATTATGATTCGGTCACGTTGGACTGAAGATGAAGACATGTCTTCGGAGCACGCACTCTCGGACGGATCATCATCAACATCGGATATCAAACTGGCAACAGTCATAATACGTGGAATTCGCCTGCCAATTCGGCCAAACGAAGGAGCCTCGCCTGAGGTAAGCTCCAAAAGATTGGAATACGATTTGGACACCATTTGTTTCTAGACTGGAACTCTAGTTCGTCAAAGCCTCTCTATATCTATCCCCTCGCCCACATAGATGAAACAACCCATTAAAGATTACGTATTTTCTATGACAAGCAAAACCTTTTTGAAAATTTATATCGCAGAAGCAGACTACAATAAGCTTGAAATACAAACAACCGGTCTGAGTTTTGAGTGAGAGGTTACTGCTAGTACTGATAATTTCGAATGAAATCCTAGCTAAGGGATAAAGAGATTATGACAAGTTAAAGGCTGACTGCAAATATCTTTGAAGATAAGTGAATCGAAACAAGGGAAGGATAAACCAAGAACTTTCTTGTTGTCCGGATAAAAGGAGATGGTAAAAGGAATGGAATACATTCAGATCACACACAGCCCGGAAATATTCGGCAACCAAACATTCAACTAGACATTCTTTTCTTGGTGAGGTTCAACTAGACATTCTCACACATACACTGCTGAGAAAATATGGATTCAACTGAAACCAAACACAACAACAGCAATAACAAAACAAGAACAAGAACAACAATCACAATTTCAAAATTCAAACTTCCAGCAATAAAATTGAGAACAGTTTAAGATGTTACCAGTAGCTGAAATTGCAAAAACCCACTTTTTATTGAGTGGAATTGAGAAAGAACGAAGCAAAACGAAAGGTGAACAAAAATCTAATCAAAGATAGGGAAAAAAGGAGACCCCAAAATTTGGTTGCTTTTCATGGGACTTTCCTGGTAATCACAGTCTACCCTTGTAATCCTCTGTCTCTCTCTCTCTCTCTCTCTCTCAGGATCAACCCAACTGAGGCCAACATAAAATAGTGGGATAATGTTCTGGACAATTTACTTTGTTTTTCACACATTTATTATTTTGTGGATTTACTTTGTTTCTTTCAAAGAAGAAAAAACATGAATAGAAAATGACGAAAACTTATGAGCCGTTGGATGCGGTATCGGAACGGATGTAACAGAATGGGACGGCTAGGAGAGTTTACGACAGAGATGTTGAGAGAGTAGTGGATGAGGTCTCCAGGCCTTATCCCTTGTCCTTTGGTGTGTCCGCCACGAGGCTTCCTACATAACGGTGGGACCCACACCGAGGGTCTTGTCCGAAACTGGATGTCGTGAGCGTGCGACCCTTTACGTGGCGGACTATGAATCGGTTTCCCTGACACGTGTCGCTCTGTCCATGCTTCATTGACAGCTCGAGACTAGGCCCCAGGGAGATGTGTCTCGTTTGACCGATTTATCGGATATGTCCGACAGTCGTTGCAACAATTATACTATTAACAATAACAAAACAACTAAGCTACACTGCCAGTGCAGATCAAAAATAAAAAATATTTCCAACCAAAAAAAAAACAAAACAAAACAATGCTCATTGTGAATGGTTTCTGAATCAATTCACTAAAGAAGCTTTAATATAAATTGCAATTAGGCTCGGCCATGGGAAAAGAGAGGACCCACGATAGGCTAAACCTTTTTGTAGTAATCAAATATTAATAAATAAATAAATAGAATTTCTCAAACCTGTAATTACTTCACGATATCATATTAAGATCTTCCACAACAGCTTTGCAATCCGAAGAGTTGTTGACAAGCATAATTGACTAGTGCAAATCTGTAATTTGATAAATGACACATCAAAATGATTTTTTATTAAAGAAAAAAAAAAGACAATGAGAGTTTGATATTTACTTCAAATTGAAATTGAAGAGAATGAGATTACCAATAGCATATTTGAGTGACAAAGACATTGAGGAATTCGACTGAAATTTCTCTTACATAGAATTGAGGGGAAGTTTTGAGAATTACGACAGTTCTTATTAATGATGTATTTTCAGTCGATGATATATAAAATAAATAATTTTGAACACGTAATACTTCATGATAGCAGATTAAGATCTTCTGCAATAACTTTCCACTCCAAATAGTTGTTGACAAGCACAATTGACTACTGAAAATCAGTAAGTTGATGAATCACACATGAAAAGATTTTTTATATTTAAAAATAAGATAAAGCAATGAGAATTTGATACTGACTTCCAATTGAAACAGAGGGTAAAGAGATTACCAAAAGCATATTTGAGTAACGATGACACTGAGAAGTCCGATTCAGAATTCGAAGGTTTTAGTTATAATTTGATGGGAAACTCTGAGAGAATTATGACAGTTCAAACTAATGATAGATTTCAGTTGATTGCATGAGTATTTTTCAGTCGGTGAAATGAGAGTTTTAAGTCGGTAAAATGAGGGTTTTCAGTCGATAGTATGTTTGAAGTTTTAGTATAAAGGAATTCAAATGTTCGGGCAGAGGATTTTATGGAAATTGAAATAAAGATGATGATAACATTATTTTAACTCCGAACATGAGAAGGGTTGAAAAGGAATTTCCACAATGACATTAAAATGATATCAGTTTTTTTTTTAAAAAAAAAAAAAAGCAACTCAAATAAAAAAGATAATTTGCTCAGGAAAACTTACAAAAATAACATATGAATGTGCAATTATTGGTTTGAAATTTATGGGAAGTACAATTTTGGTCAAGATGGTGCAGTTGAATACAAAGATCTAAAGTGTAAAGTGTAAACTATAAGGCTTCTTATTCACTTAACCTATAACCATCCGTTTAGAAATTAAATTATAAAATCTCGATTCTTAATTTTCACGATTTATCCACACTTTATTTAATAAATTCTATACTTAAATTGCCAAACATTAAAAATATTAATTTTTCGTCTTCAATTCTCAACTTTTAGCTAAAGTTATCTTCCTCCATCATTATAAAGTATATTTCTTCTAAATTTTTAGAGTTATGTTATTTGTAATATGGGTAACATTATCAAAATTTGAAATATACTATATATATATATATATATATTTTCATTTATTAAATGGAGCCTCGGATAATACAAAGTGGACAATAATTAGTTTTTGTTGTTGGAAAAGTGGACAATAGTTAAAGGATTAATTCGGATAAGAATATAGCAGACGTGTAAGCCTCGGGGAAGAATACGCCATCATTATCTGCGTTACATTTTATTTCCGGATATTTGCGAGAAAAGACAACAAACCGGCGGTTTCAGCCCTACTTTCCGTAAAACGGGAAACGATGGGCAGATAAGGTTTGTGTCAGAGTGCTTACGCTGTAACGCCACTGCATGACAAATACAGTTGAGCATTAACCAGCTGAAATCACGCGGTAGAGGAAGTGCCACGTGTATGCTCTGTAAATTCTTCTTGACGGTGGAGGAAACATCCAAAAGATCGTAACGGAATGGTTTGATTTGGAAATTGGAATGGACAAGAGGAAAGCAGAAAAGGATTCTTTGCGGAAAGGCGTACGGTGGTTGGTGTACCTATATATAAGGGACCCACGTAAAGATTGAGGGTCAGAATTAATCTTGGACGTTCAAATTGGGGACATGTGAAAATGGCCAAACAGGCCGGAATATGGAATAAAATAATATTCTCAATCTTATAGCACCAGATGCGCTTCAAATGTTTTTTCTTTTTCCAACCAAAAAAAACAATAGAAAGTATTTACTTTTTAGTTGCTATGTCTCTCTACCCAAAAATAAAATAATAAAATAATAAAATTTCTGGACATTTTTTTATTTATAGTTTTTTTCTTGGGTGACTTTGAAAAGCATGATTCTATTTCTATGTACATATATGACATAATTGAACTCCTCCAAATCGTTGCCCTTATCAAATTTGTACCCTCTCGTTTACCAAATTTTGGTTGGTCAGCGGTGGTAGAATCGATCCATGTAGATTTTGACTTGCCAATGTATACAACAAGAGTACTTTTTTTTTATAATGGTTTGAAGTTTTTTTAACTAAAGACGATGTTGTGGTGTCACGTAAAATTAGAGCTAAAAATGTAAAATTGAAGTAAATGACTCACTAGTGTAGTAGTTTGGTATATTACCGCCCCAAGAAAATATTCATGCACTTGAGATTTTGTTCGAATCTTTCCTTCCCTAATATTAGTTGAATTTTAAAAAATAAAAAATAAAAGAATAGATAACATTGGGGATAAGATAAGATATACATTTGCTCTAATTAGACATATATCTAAGGTGTGTGTGAACATTGAGAGGGTGAAGATACTTCACCCATTAATTTCTCATGCTATATATGTACACACATCCGAAAGAAGAAATAATTTGCATGTTTCATATATAACTTGTTTGCATGTGAACATCCGAAAGGAAACGAGTGCTCATAACTTGTTTGGTTGTTTCCGCAATGAATACGTGCAGTTTGAACTAAGCTCCCAACTAAACCACACAAGAACATGTATGATGCATAAACTAGCTATTAATTTGTAACGGTTCTTTCGTCTCTGATGATCTCATATATTTGTACTTGTATGTATCCCTCTCTCTCTCTCTCTCTCTCTCTCTTGAGTTTCTGTTTGGTCAATGAGTGACACGACAAAGTAGAAAAGTCCAAGTTGGTCAATGAATGACGCAAAAAAGAAAAAGAAAAAGAAAAAGAAAAAGAAAATTTGTTGTCCAAATGTAAATGAGGGAAAAAGAAAAAGACAAAAAAATATAGAGCTTGCTTTGGTCTTTGGGTGAAGCAAAGTACAAAGTGAACATCAAGTATGTTGCGAGACAGACAGCTTCGTCTTTTATCGAGGAGGAGAGAAATAAAACGTCGATAGGTTTCTTTCTCGGCATACAAGATGAAGCAGAGAAACTATTTGATCAAGTCAGTAGTCGTCACTCTCCCAGCTTTTATCGTGATTTATGCATCATGCACATATATCTACAAACTGATTTGCTTCACATATTTTTAAACTAGCAAAAACAACTACTGTTCATATTTGTTTTAGTACCCATAATTATTAATACACCTACAAGGGGTGGCTACTTATCTCATCATCATCTTCTATGTGGTGTGTTTGAATTTGAGAGAGATTTCAGAGAGAGAGAGAGAGAGAGAGAGAGAGCTGGTGAGAGATGGAGGACAACTACAATGGTGATGATGATCAGAATAAGGGTGTTTTTAGTGTGTGCACAGAATCACAATCAGATGAAAGGGATGTTGTTGGTGAGGAGGAGTTGGAGCAGGAGGTTCTAAAAAGGAGGATCTCAGGCCATCCACTGTATGGGCTGTTGATGGAGAATCACATCAACTGTTTGAAGGTACTTCCTTTTTCTTTTTGTCGGGTTTTCTCTTTTTGGTTCTGGAAGTTACTTGTTTATGATGCAGAATTAAACTAAGAATGATACAAACCTTGACTCAGCTGCTGTAATTTTACCAAGTCCTGTGAATCTTTTTTTTATTTTATTTTTTTAAAAGATTGTACACAAATATGATATGGTCAGACAGAGATGAGGAAGTCCAAAATGGCGTCCAATTTGCAAGTGTTTTGCATGGTCATATATAGGCGCAGATGGGTAGCTAGCTAGGTTTAAGAACACATATATCATCACAATATTAGATAAGTGGTTAGGTAGGTCAATGGTTAGATACGCATGCGCAGGTCAACAATAACGATCGATGTGAATTATTGTCAGGTGGGGTTGGGTGAAAATATTGGAGAAATTGGAGTCACAGGTACTGAAAAGGACAAGCTCAAGGCCACTGCCATTCCCACGTCTTCAGACCTTGATCAATTCATGGTAGCTTTCTTCTTTGTATAATTATAAATTATTATGTTTAATTATGGAGAATTAATATGTTCTGTTGGAATTAATCGCAGGAAGCATACTGCGACGCCCTAAACAAGCTGAAAGAAGCCATGGAGGATCCTATAAAAGAAACGACATCTTTCATCACTGATATGTATGCTCAACTTGAGGATCTCAGTGCCTCCAAAAACACCACATTAACCCGTACACCTCAACTTGAGGAGTTGCATGCGCGGCCACATTTGACCGATTATGCTGATGAAAACTGATGATCTTTGATCACTAAATTTGGTAGTTGATGAGTTATAATAATGTTAATTTGTCCCAACATGAGATGAAAGTACTTGCTATATATTAAAGTTTCTTAATTAATTTTGTTACATCAATTTATAACGTTAATTACATGCATACATTTTATCCGGTGGATTTTACATACCAGTCACACTTAATTATTTGTGACCGCAAAGGCAATATGAAGATTCTTCACTTCATAAATACGATATAGAAGTGTAAAATAAACATGACTAAGGAACATTTAAAACATAGACAACTTTCAAGTTTCAATATGTTTTACAAGCTAGCCAGTGGATCAGGTCTAGTAGAAAAGGGATTTGACTTGCATACTAGTGGTCTTAGGTTCGAACTCTCATGAAGAGACAATCCTTATAAGGAGTAATTTTTGGGTGTTCTAGGTATACTACTTGGATGGTGTACCATCCAATAGATACACGGCATGTGGAATATTTCCAATGCAGCCAGTCACATGTCATAAAAAGCAATAAAGTAAGTTGGAGAATAATTCTACATATCATATGTGTAGTGGATGATACACCAGCCACGTTGTGTACTCAAAACATATAAAAATTTCTCCCTTAGAAAGGACCAACATGGGCTATAGCCCATGTGAGTTTTTATTTTATTAGCCCAAACTTTAATTTAGCCCACCTAAGCCTTCTAATGACAATCATGACACGTTTACATCCAAAGGCTCACAACAAACCAAGACTACTGGCTCATCCAACAATACACTAAGGACCCATTTGGTGGGCCGGATAAATTAGGTGGATTAAGATTTTAAATCCAATATGGTGTTTGGAGGCCCAAAATGAAGTTGGACTGAATTGTGTGTAATCTGGTCAAACCCCAAAGTAGGTGGATTGTGCATACATAAGTATAAATTTAGTCTATTCCATTTTAAAATCCTGAGTTTGTCTCTATCCCGATGACATCTTGGTAGTATATGTATGAAAAACTCTCATCCCTTGTAGTTTAGACCATCGCTTGTATATTTTTTTTATAAAATGTTTTACAATCTTCATGCTCAACTGGTGATTTACCTCATGAACTTGTACCTAACTTTCGATTGACCCCATATCTTTTTTTATTGTTATAAAAAATTAAGGATATTAACTTCTTCTTTTTTCACCAATTCTCCCATGTTGTCTAAATCATCAACATTTATGAGAGCAAATTGGTCATTTATATGTTAAAATAAAATTTGAAATAATAATCAATAATGATAGAAATAAAGTTTTTATTTTTTTATAAAAAAAAGTAGAGAGAAGGTCATCCTCAGACCAACCCCACTTCCTATTAGCCTATGAATTTTTGCTTACCAATTCCACTTCCTATAATCCTCGTACCAACCCCCTTCTTCCCCAAAATCGAACACATCCCATACAACAACACCAAAACCACCACCATATATTTGAACAAAAAAACTCATATGTACATATTTGAACACACAAAAAAACCCAAATCTATTTGATAAAAAACCGCACCAGGGGCAGATGGGTTGTGGCAAGGTGGGTGATTTTGTGGGTGTCGAGGATGGACCTGGGGTTTGGGGGAAGAGAGAGAGTGTGTGTGTGATGGTTATGGGGTGGTGGCTGTGGGAGGCTGAGCTGTTGAGAGAGAGAGAGGGAGGCTGCGATGGGTAAAGGGGTGGTCGTGGGGTCTGGGGGTGTGTTGCGAAAGGGGAGGCAACAACGGTGGTGAGGGGGGATGGGTTGCGAATTAGTCTTGGGGTAAGATGCAGGTGGGAAAGGGGTAGTCCAGTTGGGGGAGAAAAAGAGAGAGGGGAGAAGGGGTCTGTGGGTATGATAGTTTTTTGTTTTGTTCATTTTTCTTTAATTTTTTTCTAAAAAAGTAATTTATTTTTAATGATTTAACAAAAAATTGAAAGAAATGTTGATGATTTTGACTGCAGAGGGAAAATTAGCCGGAAAAAAATTCATATTCTTAATTTTCTATAAAAAAAAGGAAGAGAGGGTAAATCTAAAGTTAGAAACAAATTCAAGGAGCAAATCACCGATTAATCCTTTTTATTTTCTTTCTTTAATCTTGTTGTAGAAAAATAACTGAGTCCAATAGCCCACATAAAAACGGGGATGAGTTGGGCTCGGTTTCGTCGGAAAAAAAAAAGTTGGGCTCGGCCCGTCAAGTTCCATTTTGTCCGCGCAGCGATCTTCTGTGAATAACTAGCTTAACCACCACTTGCACACCAAGCTGCAAGGAAAGTCCAGTTTGCCTCTCTCTCACCAAAGAAACGAAAAAGAGAGAGAGTAATCTTGTTGTAGAAAAATAACTGAGTCCAATAGCCCACATAAAAACGGGGATGAGTTGGGCTCGGTTTCGTCGGAAAAAAAAAAGTTGGGCTCGGCCCGTCAAGTTCCATTTTGTCCGCGCGGCGATCTTCTGTGAATAACTGGCTTAACCACCACTTGCACACCAAGCTGCAGGGAAAGTCCAGTTTGCCTCTCTCTCACCAAAGAAACGAAAAAGAGAGAGAGAGAGAGAGAGAGAGAGAGTAGGAAGGAAACTTCGCCCAGTTCTACACTTTTCCCTTCCGCTGATTCTACTCAATTGTGCTGCTACTTCTCTTGGGTCTTTCCAAAACCCTATCCCACATCGAATTTTGAGGTCAAAATCTTGGGTTTTCTTTGAAAAGGAAGCAGCAGAGTAGGGGCATGTTGAAATCGGCGGGGAAGAGTGGAGATGGGTCTGGGTCTGGTGGATCGGTGGCTCCTTTTCTGAGGAAATGCTATGAGATGGTGGATGATAACGATGCAGACTCTATAATCTCGTGGAGTGAAACCGGCGACAGCTTTGTGATATGGGACATGACCCAGTTCTCGATTTTATTGTTGCCCAAGTATTTCAAGCACAGCAACTTTTCTAGCTTCATGAGGCAGCTCAATATCTATGTGAGCTTTTCTGGGCAATTTTTTACTTTTTCTTCTATCTCGGTTATTGCATTTTGAGGTTTCTTTTTCATTTTATGGAGGCGTTCTTTAGCTGCGTTACAATTGTGGGTTGAATTGGTTTTTGTCAAATTGTTCTTATATTTATATTGGATTTTTAGACTTTTTTCTTCTTGTTATTCTTGCGGCAATCCCAAATATAAATAATAAAAGAAAATTGCGCATTCGTAAATGATTGTAAACTAGAAGAAATCTCTTAAATCAAGTTTGTTTCTTGCGTAGATGATTAGTTTGCTCTTTTGAGCCTAGACTCGTGCTCAATTGGTCCAAATCAAGTTTCGTATTTCCTTCATTTGGAAGTTTTCTGTGGTTACCCATTTAGGTGGGACTCGAAAGGGAAGGGTCTGTCTAAGATGTAAGCCTTGGCCATGAGTTAAGACTTTGTAAAATATGTTGAATGGTGAAGTTCTCGTTTCGAAGCCTGATACGTCTCCCTCCTTTTTGTCTCAGTTGGCCCTGAGCTAATTAAATGGTTGTGCTTCAGTCTCAATTGCCCAGAAATGCTATATTGAGAAATTAGCAATGTATATAACTATATGCATATGTATGTGTATATCTGCACTACAGGTGCACTTGTGTGTTTCTCTGTAAGTGTAAATGTCATGTTATGTTATTTGAATTGTCAACCAATTGTCAAGTATTCAAGAATCTTATTGTTTCAGGGCTTCAGAAAAATAGATTCAGATCGTTGGGTGTTTGCAAATGAAGGATTTATTCGAGGTCAAAAGCATTTGTTGAAGAATATTTCTAGAAGGAAACATCCTCAGGGCACAGATCAGAGAAAAGCATTACAGCAGAAAGACAATCCTGATGGGCCTTGTGAAAACATTGTTGAAAATGGTCTATGGAGGGAAGTTGAGAACCTGAAGACTGATAAAGTTGCTCTGAAGCAAGAGTTGGTCAAGCTTAGGCAGCACCAGGAAATTTCAGAAAATAACTTGCTCCTCCTGAGGAACCGCCTTCGTGGAATGGAGAAGAATCAGCAGCAGATGCTGTCATTTCTAGTTATGGCCATGCAAAGTCCTGGGTTTTTAGTTCAGCTTCTTCAGCCAAAAGAAAACAGTTGGCGCATTGCTGAACCTGGGAATATGCTAGAACAAGGTGTAGATGATGGTATACCAATAACTTCTGATGGTGCGATAGTGAGGTACCAACCTCCTGTGGATGAAGCCCCGAAGCCTGTCCTCGCAGCGAATTCAGGCTCAGACAAACAAACCGAATTTGATTCTTATATAGATGGAATGAACGATTTTGTCGTGAATCCTGATTTCATGAAAATGCTAATGGATGAAAAGTTGAGCTCTCTAGAAAATCAAGCCCCATATACCCTACCGGATATATCTGATGATGGTGCATGGGAGCAGCTTCTTTTAGCTAGTCCTTTCTTAGAAGATATTGAAGCTACAAAGGAAGATGGAAAAGAGACTGTTGACTCTAGAATGGAGGTGGAATCAACCGCATCGGAGCTGCAAGAATCACAGAATTTTGATACTTTAATAGAGCAAATGAAGAAATCTCAGAACTTTGCATCGGAATCAACAGTTTATGGATCTAATGTGGAGAGCTCTCAAAACTTGGAACATATAACTGAACAAATGGGATATTTAGCTTCTGACTCTAACAACAAACGAGGAACACAATCAGGAAAGTGAGAGCTTCTTTTGGGATACCTCATACATGTAACGCTCTTTCTCAGTCAACTTAACAAATGTAAGTCGCTTCGCTTCTTATTCTTCAGTCAGTCTTTTATACTGTCCTAGGAGAATCATATTTTAAATATAATTGAGGCTACCTGGAGTTCTGAAGTAATTTGTGTTGTTGGGTTGCATGCTGTAATTTGAACTATATCTACTTACCTTTCCGTCATTTTGCTTATGGACAGATTTTGGTGGGCGGCATGACCGTTGGGAAGAGTATTTTGCTTGCAGTTTTGCTCTGTTTCTACATGTAATTCGAGTAATTTTCCTGTGAGGTTTAATAGCTGCTTGGTTAAAGAGCATTGGAGAATATATGTCATCTGCGCCACTGCAGTGGCCTTGCTTTTTCTTAACTTCTGCAACCTCACTTGGTATAGTTTTCTTGTACCAACCTTGTAAATACACGGGACACCGTTCTCATTTTCTCAACATAAATGAAATACACTTTGCATATGACGTTCTTCTCTCTCTCTCTCTCTCTCTCTCTCTCATGGCAACTAGAGGCGTTCTCTTATGATATTTATATAGCGCACATGCAATTTGAATATTCGATTTCATTTTTCAAGGTTGTTAGAGATTCTAGGTAACATCTCTTTTCTAAGGGCTAGTTGTGGTAAGAGGGTTTGGCTTGCTTCCCTTGTTGCTCTGCAGAGGCTTACCCGCAAATGAAGGTGAAAGTACCATTTTTCTCAAACCATTCCCATCCACAAAGGTACAAAAACTACATAACCTTTCTTGTTTTTTTAAAAGAAAAAAACTGCATACTTATTAGATGTCAATGCGGAAGAAAAGAAAGTTCACGTAGGATCACGGGATGAAATTATACCGAAAATAAGAAGCAACATTGAAATTTCCATAGGAATAGGAAACACAGAATACAGTAGCATATGATATATAGGAAAGGACGAATGTTCATGGATGGATAGCCTTTGCCAGGCCAAAAGCAGCAGCGGATGCCACGGCTCCGATGAGAGCAGTCTGGAAGGCACTCTGGAAGGGTTTATTGCCGGTAAACTGGCCCTTGGCAAAGCCAAATATTAGCAACGCCCCCAAGGTGACGACAACGGAGGCAACCAAAGCTTCTCTAGCCCTTGGAAAAAAGACGTAAGGAAGGAGGGGCACTGATCCACCCAAAACGTAAGCAATGGCAATGGTGAGGGCGCTGTGCAGTGCTCTTCTTGGATCTGGCTTTTCCAATCCCAGTTCAAACCTGAATCATCATCATTTAAATTAAAAATAGCTTGCTTGCTTAATAATGCTAGTTACACAATTAACATAATTCCGAATTCAGAGGAAATAATAAAGATGGAAGTCATGACGGACGGAAAAACATAACCAGGCTGAGGACCACATGGGTTTGGTTTTGTCCACATTTCTAAAGTAAGCATTTTCAAAAGAGAAAGAGAAATTGGATTCTATTATTGCATTTGATAAGTGATGGATCTATTCACTTGTCAACTAGTTGGCCCACTCGTGCACAGAAGAGAATATCCACAACACTAACACATTCTCTCCCTTTTTTTTATTCATCATTCATCATTCTAATTCTAAAGTTAATTAAATTTGTATTGTTTAGGAATATGAACAACAACTTACTTCATCATGAAATCCACCCACGCTTTGGGATTCTTCCTTAGAGCGTTCACCACAGGCGTATACTCATGTGGCTCTACCCCATACTCTGCCAGTATCTCTGCTACCTCTGCCGCCTCTGCAATTTTCATATGAATAAACCCCTTCATACTTCATACTTGATATTCAATTCTAACTAAGCATACCAGAGACAGAGAGAGACTTATAACAAAATAATCAACCTGTATCAGGAACGTTTACTACTTCCTCTTGTTCTCTCCTCAGCTCCCTCGTATAATGATCAGCCTCGCTTTTCGCCGCCAGATATCTGCGTCAGAAATATTGACAATAACAATAATCTACAATCAACAACCCTAATAATTTTCGCATTTTCTCAGTAACCAAACAAAACAGAAGAAGCGATAAGCAGAATTGAAAGTATACCCGCCGAGTCCCATGGAGATGGCACCGGCAGCGACTTCGGCGATGCCAGCAGTGAGAACGATAGATGACGTGGCATTGGCACCGGAGAGTCCTGCTGCGAGAGCGAAGGGCACGGTAAGACCGTCGGATACGCCGATGATGATGTCACGGACGATCTCTCCAGCGGTGAAGTGTTTCTCTGTGTGCTGACTCAGGAGTGTTTGCTTCTCTGGGTCCAAGGTCCTTGCTTGCCCACGCCCGTCATTAGCTGCCATTGTAAAACGGAAAGGGTTTTGGAGTCAAGTAACCAAACCCCGGATTTCGGAGCCTTTTATTTATGTTGCTGTCTTTTTGTGTGTAAATTGGGTCTGCTATGCTTTTGCTTGCGATGACACCCTACCTATTTATACACCCACCAACGTCATTATGCTCCAGTGCTGTGGATAGAAACTCTCAACGGGATTACCATTTTTTGATATTTTCGATCAATAACGAAATGACACGTAATATAAGTTTTTCACGTATTTTGACTCAAAAATATAAATAAATAAATAAAATTCACGTGTCATTGTATTATTGACGGAAATAACAAAACAATATTATTCCCGTTACATGAGTACTTTAGCGTGCTGTGCGTTATTATGCGTTTTGCCGCCTTCATTATTCTTTTCCTCGTTTTCTTCAATTTCATTCTGATTTCATTTCATTAAAAATAGAAGGATGACAATGACTCATTTGCTACTGTTTTAGTAATATTTATATTCTCAAAATTGTAACCAGTTTAAATTCGAATCTCCAAACCAAATGCCAGTAACAATGGGAATCACAAAGTTGTGTTGTATCATGTTCAAGTCACGCGTTTCACTTATTATTAATTCGAATTTAAGATGTATTCTAACATTATAAATAAAAATATTACTAATAAGCTAGATTAAAGAACCTTTTTTTTTCTTTGAAAGAATTTAAGGTAACCCGTACTCAACTCGAAAATGGCTTGAATATAAAACGAGTGGTGTGCTTGGGATTCGTGCAGGATTAAAATGTGCGATTTGATTCGAGTTGTATTTTCCTTATATGAGCTAAAAACCATATATATATATATATATATCAATCAATTGATTAATAAGTTTGACGCCAAGTGAAACTCCAATTAATTAAGAGATTTGGTTCTATTGTGTTATTATACTAGTAATTTCAAATTCATTGAATCATTACAAATACATTGCATGTACTTCTAGTTGATACGGAATTAATGTCCAAACCCAAATTCATTAATCTCCTAAATCCCACGCTTGCATCTTTCCCAAAAGAAGAAGAAGCCAAGTTTGCATCTCTGGGTGAGGAAGGCTACATTTAGTCCTTTATAAAATAATTTTATAAGAAATAATGTCATGTTAAATTTAACTGTCTTCAACAACAACGAGTTGAATTTAACATTTTAATAGTTTTTAGTGTATTATGTAAGACGCAATATGTTGTAAGTGGAACTTATTGAGTCTCACCTTTCTAAGTAGAACTTATTGTAAGACACAATATGTTGAGCTGTTATTTATTTTACAAAATCCAGTCCCACCACGAAACAATAATTCATCTTGGTTGGATAACTATATGCGCACGTTCCCACTCTAATGGGGTTGGTGAAAAGGATGCTCAAAATTATAGGAAATTTGTTTGGCTTTGGCTGGTAATTAACAATTACAATGATGGCAACATAAAAATAACAATTACTCAAGAAGTAGCGATCAGAAGAAGGAAGAGCAACCTGCCTTCCAACGTGCAGAAACATATCCAAGGGTTCTGCGGATACGTGGCATCTATGGAACTGGATGGAAATGGAGGTGGATGAAATTATTAATTAAGAAATGATGTGCTGATAAAGACAGTCAATGTAATATTGGTGCAGGCCTTGCAGCCTTTGGCATTGCTGGTGGTGTGGAATATTACTTTGGATTCTGCAGCTCTGATTTATTCAACAATATTGTTTGAACACCAATTAATATTAATATTATTAATTATGTTGATGTAACTTTTTGTTGTTGTCATTTTCCAAAGGAAGGAAGGAATATTTCAAGCTATATATAGATTAAACCATGGAACAACCAGTACACTAGCAGCAAATTAATATTGTACCACGCAGATTGAGCTAGAAATTAAAGGATATATAGAAGCAGAAAGATGAAGTTAATTAATAAGACATGTAATTTAAATAAAAAAAACAAAAAAAGTTGAAACTAATTAATATTAATGGTGGTATGCTTGGAAAAGTTTAGCAATGGAATAAGCAGCGGCAGAGGCAATGGCCCCAATGAAGGCAGTTTGGAGGGCACTCTTGAAGGGTTGGGTGCCCGTGAAGTGACCCTTTGCAAAGCCAAAAATCATCAAAGCCACGATGGTTAGGATGACGGATGCAACCACAGCCCTTGTTGCAATTGGAATGAGCATGTATGGCACGAGGGGCACCAGCCCTCCAATTATGTATGAAAACGCAATTGTCATTGCACTCTGTACGGCTCTCATCGGGTCTGGTTTCTCCAGTCCCAGTTCAAATCTGCACCCACCCACCCACCCAATGATCCCGGCCATATAATTAATTAATAAACAATTAGTTGATAAATCAGTGAATTAATAAGCTTATACTCAAATTAACCTACTTCATCATGAAATCAAGCCAGGCTTGTGGATTCCTCCTTAGAGCATTCACCACAGGCCCATACTCATGTGGTTCAGCCCCATATTGTGACAATATTTCCGCAACCTCAGCAGCCTCTGCGTTTCATTCATAATATAACAACTTTATTTAATATGTTAATTATGTTCCAATCATATATTTAAGCATATATACACATAATTAAGGAGCAAATCATTTAAAAATGAAAAAAGAACCCCATCAGTCATATTCAGATACAGTGTAAAGTTTAAAAGAGGTTCACATGATCTTAACCTGGCAGGCAGCCTATAAATAAATATATATAGATCGTGAATTCTGTCTGCGCACTCTCAGAGTCAGAGCTAAATAATTAATATATAATAATGAGAAGGGTAAAATTATAATGTTGATGTAGAGAGACCTGTATCAGGGACAGCGATGATTTCATCTTGTTCCCTCTTTAGTTCTTTCATGTAATGATCAGCTTCGCTCTTAGCAGCAAGGTACCTGCAAAGCCGTGCATCTTGCTTTTATTACCAAAAAAATTAATAATAAATGAAAAAACAAAATCTCTTTGAAAATTCATTTAAATAATATCAATTAATACCCGCCGAGCCCCATGGAGATAGCACCAGCGGCAACTTCAGCAATGCCAGCAATGAGAATGATGGAGGAGCTGACATCCGCACCGGACAACCCGGCGGCGAGGGCAAAAGGGACGGTGAGACCGTCCGATACGCCAAGAATGACGTCACGCACAATCTCACTGGACATGAAGTGCTTCTCTTCATGGTCATGCAGGATCAGCATCTGCTTCTCCAAGTCCGCATACCCATTTTGATTTTGATTTGCCATTTTTGTTTAACTACTTTAGTGAGTCTCTCAAGCTAAGCTAAAGCGATTCTATTGAAATATCTCTTGGCTGCCTGCCCCACGGGATGAAGTCTGAGAGTGAGGAAAAGGCCGGGTATTTATATATAAAGGAAGAAGAGGGGGTCAATCAAAATTAGTGATATACTTGTAAATTGAGATTATTATTATTATTATTATTATTAAGAAAAAAAGGGTGGTAGGTGTTGTGGAGATTCCAGATAAAGAGAATTAAAGCGATATGTGTTGTTTGGGTCCACCGTTTGTTCTCTGCCCACCCCGCCGAATAATTAACAAAATAACAAAATTAAAAAGTTGCTCTCACTTTTGACCCACCTGTCACTTCAGTGGCGTGTGCGCACCATAGGCCTCGTACGAATGCTAAAGCTAAAGTATACGGCGTGTGTGAGACACAGGCCCTATCCAAACGCATGCTATGCTAATTTAAGTTTAGTTTCTTCACCGAAGTTTAATTAAGAGAAGAAAACTTCAAACGCAATTCTCAACTATTGACTACATAAAATAAAAAGTCAAATCACATGTGAATCTCGTTTCTTTCTTCGTGCTTACTTTTGGATCAACTTTATTCCGAACATATGGGTTTCTATTAGTGATATTCTACGTTAACTACTTCGACTGATATAGATTCAATTCATCTAATTAATCTTCCCGTTGACAACTATTGTATGTTTGAAGGTGCTTCTTAGAAAAACACAAGAGCCTCTAAAAGCGTATTATTAGAAAAATTAAATGTACTTGGGAAGCATTTTTCCTACCTAAGAAAAAGCATTTGAAGTTTTAAACTTAAATGCACTTCCAAGTTTCCTTAGAATATGTTCGACCAAAAAAAAAAGGTTTCCTTAGAATATGAGCTGCTCTCTCATTATGTGAGTCATAAAGGAAAATTTCATTTTTTTGGAGGGGTGGGGGGGAGGAGGAGGAAGAAGAAGCATACTGCCCCTTCTCATCCTCTTCCTATATTCTCGTCTTTTCCTTTTAGGTTAGTGAATAAGTCAATTGAGGTGTTTTGAATAAAAAGCCCATTGTGGTGGTTTCTTCTGAGCCATGGTTAGATTGAAATTACCAATCACCCCTTTTAGTCTATGTTTTCCATCAAATCCTACCTCTAAAACCCACTCCCTAATGCCACTCATGTTCTCTAAATTTGATTATACATTGTCTTTGACAGAGGTTGCTGCAAATTATTCAATTGTTCTTTGGCAAAGTTGTTTTTGTTTATTTGTTCACTCTTATGCCCAGATAAATAACTGGAAATCATATTTTCCCCAAATTTGTTACAGATGCAGTGGTGGGTGGGGTCACGACGACGCTTCTTCAGGTGGTGGTGGTAGGGGTTTGTTTAGACTCATGAGTTGTTTTAGGGTTTTGGTTATATTGGGTTTGTGGGCTTTGTTTAGGCTTATGACTAATTGTGGTAATGTGAGTTAGTAGTTTTAGTGCGGCTTTTGTCTTTGTTAGTTTTGCTTTTAGCATGTTAGTTTGTTGTCCTCTTGGGATTGGTATTTTAGATGTCTTGTTGATGTTTTTAATTGTACCGTAAAGTTTACCTAATAAAGTTTCGTCAAAAAAAAAAATATATCCTTAAAATATACTCAACGCACCTAGTGAGATCCAACATAGGAACATGATTTATGCAGCACATGTGTTTCACATTTAATAAACATGTGCCCATTCTTTTGTAGAAAAGAAAAGATGCGAACTTAATTTTAATTTTGCTTTGACAAATCGAATAGTATCACATTTAATCAACATGCCCATTCTTTTGTCGAAAAGAAAAGATGCGAAATTAATTTTAATTTTGCTTAGAAAAATCGAACAGTATGAAGCATGTCCCGGCAACACCATTGGTCATGGCAAGTAATATTGCTCATTTCTTCAAACAAATATTCTGCCCATCTTCTTATTTGTTTGGAAAAATATATCTTGGCTCTTTGTTCATCATCATTACCACGGGTAATGTGGGTTTCTTGGATTACAGGACATATTATTTCAATATTTTTTTTAGTGTTTTCTTCACCTTATAATCCATCTCGAATATCTTTTCCTTCTTAACGAAGTTCCGGGTTTCCGTTGATTTTCTATTAAACTGCAAATTGTAGGGGACAAAATAAAATAAAATTTTGTGTTTCATATGGCGTAAAAAAGGACTGAATCCATGAAAACTATAGTTATGAATTTCTTTGATTGCATCTCATAGATATCAGGTTTTATATAGTTATGAATTTCTTTTTTTGAACCAAAGTGAAGGCAAAAGGACAAAGTAAAACCAATAGGAAGGAAGAAAAGAATTGAAACAAGTAAGTGAGGCAAAAGAACACAACGCATCAAATGAATCTGTGCTTTAAAATTGTTCTTCCCATCTCATTGGCAATTTGGCATTGTATTGTAGGCTTGTAGGTGGGTAGGTACCAAGCGACACGTAAATAGTAAGTTAGTGGGAGTTGTGGATGTGGTGTGGAAGTATACCAGTTAAAACATGGAATCTGATCTGATCACTATGTATGTCTAGCATGCGCCACAAATAAAGAAGGCTTTTGCGCCAACCTTTTTGCTTTACCTTTGCTCAGGCGCAGCGAGTCAGTGACAGTGCAATTAAACATCAAAGAGAAAGAATCTGTAGCAATCTAGATATGAAAAAGAAAATAAAGTCACGGAAGAAAAGAGGAACAGAGAGAAGGAATCTGTAGCAATCTAGATATGAACTTGTCCATCTGTAATGCCACTAGCAAAATAACATTACAGATGTGAGTAGTAGTACGGATAACAATAATTATAAAGTTGGCTTTATCTTCGCTTTATTTTTCAGATCATACCCTCAAAAGCTCATTCAACCCATTTTACATAAAAAATAATTTGCTGAAAGTATTTCCTTCCATTTCATGCCTCTCTCTCTCTCTCTCTCTCTCTACTGTGCAAACAAACACAAAATTTCCTTTGTCATGATGGTCTCTGTGTGCAGAGGCACAGAGACTAGAAGGGGCTATAGTGAGGTGTTATAACGAGAGGGTACTTAATACTTGTATGATTCAATGCAGAATTATTGAATTGTTGGATTGAACCCCCTCATTCTTCATTGTTATAGAAGCTCCCCTCTCTGTGCGTGGCTTCGAGGCTATGTTTCCAGGCAATGGGTTTGAAATGTTTTTTGAGCCCATGGGTTGCCTTGACCAAAGCCTCATTACGCCGCTTCTTGGGGTTTAAGATATCTTTCAGCTTCGTTTTTAAAATTTTGGGTCCAATCAACTTTTCCTTTATTAATTAGTCCAAACGCTCATTCACCAATCTGGATTTTACCGTTCTCAACAAGTTTGGCAGAAAAATGCATCAGATTTTGGAGGGGCTAATTTACCGTACATCAATCACAAAAATAGACTCAACGATAAAAGCACAAGCGATTAAGGAAGAAAATAGCAAATCAACGATTCAAAGACAGCAGATGCTGATACAGAACGACTTATATAAAGAATATCTTCTCGTGATGTTCTTCAGTTCAGGTCTCCAGATTTTCAGCATTAATAAGCTCAGGAGAATTGAATGTTTCATCATTAGAAACAAAAGAAGATCTTCTTTAATAAACACAGCAAAGTTACTCAGAAAAACCACAGCTAACAACTATTAACAAAAATTAAACAAAAGAATCAAATTCAAAATCAAGATGAAAGAAAAATATATATCTTCTTAGAATGCTCTTCAGTTCAGGTCTCCAGTTTCTCAGCACTGATAAGCTCAGGAGAACGAAAGTTTTGTAGAAACATCATCATTAGAAGCAAAAGAAGATATCATTTCATACAACCTCAAAACCCAAACTAGAAAAATCTGTCACTCAAAACATCCACAAACCTCCTTAGCGTCGGTGAGAGTCTGCAACGCTGTTCACCTAAGATACCCCTTTTATAGCGTGGGGCGGCTAAACCCTAGCCCCTGCAACAATGGACTGGGCCAAGAAGATTTATTTTGGGCTTTATTTGAGGCGAGTTTTTCACTGGGCTTTACTTCAAAATAAAAAGCTGGGAGCCAAAAAAAGAGATAATGAACCGAAAAGAATAACAAGGGGAAGGAATAGAAATGAGAAACAGACTAGGGGTTCAAAATCTCACAAGGAAGACTGAAAGAGAGAGAGAAGGAGCGGTGGAGGAGGCTGACGACGTCGTTCGTCTTGATTTCTGGTGAGTTTCTCTTCTTCCTCGTTTCCCGCTGGTTCTTACTCAGGGAACTTGCTAACCTCCCCGTTTCGAACTGAAATTGAGGAATAAAACCCTCTTTGTTTGAATTGGGGATTCTTGTGCTTAGTCAATTGCAGCATTATAAAATACAACAAAAAAGTTTTGTTCTTTTCATAAAAATAGTAGGTTTTTCATAATTTGTTTGTTGGTCTGGCACTTGGCTTTGCTTTATGTTGCTCTTTGTTAATATATACATGCAATTTTGTTAAATTTTTGCTGAACTTGTGCCCGGAACTCAATTGAAGCTCATAAATTTATACGTTTCTTCATTGTTATTCCCTGACGTGTCTTGAATACATCTTTTTCTTTCTTATCAGATTAAGTACTTTTCACCATGTCTTGGTGCACGATTGAGTCCGACCCAGGTAAATTTCAGAAAAATTTGTTGTTTGTGTGTGTGTGAAAGTTTAGGTGAGCATCTATTCACGCTGATAAATTGTAATATCTTTATCACGTTCTGTTATACTTCCTGATGTTGCTCCTACATTAAATGCCTTTCATATCTTGATATCAGCTCGCCGGTCCCTCTTTTGAGCGTAAATCTTGACATGGAGCTGTATTCACTCTTTGTTTCGATATAGAAATTGCACTGGCAGACCTGACATGCTTTATTGAGTTCAAAGAAACTTGGAGAAATTCCAATTTGACTTCTAAACAAGCTTTTCTCTTGTATCTTTACATGTATGAGTGGAACCCTAAATTGTTGACAACACTTGCTTGATGACCATAATTTTTGTTTAAAAAAAGTACATTTGGGATTGTATGGATGATGAAAGTTATGATTTGATGATGCAAAGTGATAGTGTATAGGATTTGGATAATTTATAACGCATTTATTATTTTCAAAAAATATAAACAGCTATAGTATAAATGGACTGTACTAGTATTTTGAAGGTTCTACTTTGCATTTCAGGGGTGTTTACAGAACTTATTCAGCAGATGCAAGTAAAAGGCGTGCAGGTAAGCCTTCTTTGTTTCCTTTTGTATTTTATTTATGCTTACCCTGCACTGATCTTAGTTTATGGTTTGATTTCTACTGTTACTGCTTGAGCTTAGGCTGCAAGTGCTTCTTGGAGATGTCTTCGCTCCTTTTGTTGTGATATTGATTATATCCAACACTTCATCCTTTATCTTTAACTAAAAAATGTAAACTATATCCAATGCTTAACCCCTTTTTCTTCACTAAGCTATGTTGAAGTTTTACTTTTCAAAGAAATTGTTTACTTAATTTTCATGGTAGTCAGAGTCCAAGTGTAATGTTGTGACTTGGATTATAGTTCACTTCTTTCACGTATGCCATGATGCCCTTGGTGTGGCCTTGCAGGTTGAGGAGTTGTATTCATTGGACCTTGATTCTCTGAACAATCTGAGGTACATAAGGGCCGTTTAAGCTTCCATCTCCCAGGCAGATATCCTCATTTCCACTATAGCAAATGTTTAAGTTTAAATCTTTAGTATCGATGTTGTAGTTACTCTTTTTTCTCTTGCAAATTACAGGCCGGTGTACGGTTTGATTTTCCTATTCAAATGGCGTCCAGGGGAAAGGGATGATCGCCTTGTAATTAAGGATCCAAATCCTAATTTGTTTTTTGCAAGCCAGGTTGGTGTTCATGACAATGTATTTTTCTAGAGTAATGAAACATTTGTAAGCTCTTCTGATCTTATACTTTTTATATCCTCATAGGTTATTAATAATGCTTGTGCCACCCAAGCAATCTTGTCTATCCTCATGAACTGTCCAGATGTTGACATTGGTCCTGAACTGTCAAAACTGAAAGAGTTTACAAAGAATTTTCCACCTGAACTGAAAGGGCTGGCAATAAATAACAGCGACGCTATCCGTGCAGCCCATAATAGTTTTGCAAGGCCTGAGCCGTTTATTCCTGAGGAGCAGAAGGTAGCTGAAAAAGATGACGATGTCTACCATTTTATAAGCTACTTGCCTGTTGATGGGGTCCTGTATGAGCTTGATGGATTGAAGGAGGGGCCGATTAGCCTTGGACAGTGCCCTGGTGGGCAAGGTGACATGGAATGGCTGCAGATGGTACAACCTGTAATCCAGGAGCGCATTGAAAGGTATTCCAAAAGTGAGATAAGATTCAATCTCTTGGCCATAATAAAGAACAGGAAAGAGATGTATACTGCTGAACTTAAGGAACTCCAAAAGAAGAGGGAGCGTATTTTGCAGCAGCTGTCTGCCATACAATCAGAGAGACCGGCCGACAGTAGCAAATTTGAAGCGCTGAACAAAGGTCTTTCAGAAATTAATGCTGGGATCGAGGGCGCTACCGAGAAGATCTTGATGGAAGAAGAAAAATTTAAGAAGTGGAGGACAGAAAATATTCGCCGGAAGCACAACTACATACCCTTTTTGTTTAACTTCCTCAAGATTCTTGCTGAGAAGAAGCAGCTGAAGCCTCTTATTGAGAAGGCAAAGCAAAAATCTGGCAACCCTAGATGAATGAGAATGATGGTTTGGTTAACTGTACTATGATGGGATTGTGGATTATTTTTCGTGATTGTCAGTTGTAATTGTGGGTGAACCTAACTGGGGGTATACATGCTTTCTTTAGGTTACTCGTTGAACTTAATTTATTTTGGTGAGACATTCCCTTGAATTGACTTTGTTCCTACTTTGCTTTAAGTCAAGAAGCATACGTGTCTTTGAATTATGTGGAATAATAAATGGTGGAACATCATTAGCATCTGCAACAACTCAAAACCCTCCTCCGCTCATTTGCATAAGAAAAGGAAAATATTAAAACAAAAACATTAGTCGCCCACCGTGGGGCTCGAACCCACGACCACAAGGTTAAGAGCCTTGCGCTCTACCAACTGAGCTAGACGGGCTTTGCTGATTGAATCGCATGCTAACTTAATTGTATGAGAGATTTATCTTTAATTTGGCGCCTAAATCATCGTCTATCTGAGTTTTCCTTTCGTTCAGACAGAGTTAGTTACTTTCATCAACCGTCAAAGTTGAAAGTTGAAAACAGACTCTCGTAGGCCGTTAAATATATGCGTCGCTATGTTTATATATAAGAGAGAGGAGGCATTTCATTCTCAACTCTGCATCCAATTATTAAAATAAAAGATTCAAGAATTTCAAGAATCTCTCCCTCCCTCCCTACCAGAAGAAGAAGAAGAAGAGGAATTCGTTGAAGAAGAATTAATGGCTGAATGCAGTGACCAGAACATTAAGAACCCACAACCAGAAGAAGAAGAAGAATACGCAGCGGTGGTTGGCAAACACTTGTCCATGCTCTGCCTTGACAACAGCAGCAGCAGCAGCAGCTTCAAATCTCCCAATTCCAGTCCCAAGCCCAGGAGAACATTGAAAAGGCGATCCCCGTCCCAATCCCCACCAATATCCCAACCCAACCCCAAGAAAGAGAAGCTTGATCTCCCTCCTAATCCTCTTCTTCGCCGCTGCAGTTCCGAACGCTTCAACCCAACCTCTCCTCCTCCTCCTCCTCCATTTTATTCTTTTAATTCTCATCACAATCAGCTGCAGTGCCCCAACGCAGCCTCTCCTGCCTCTGCCTCAACCGATAAAGCCTCTGGCGCGGCTGCTGTCTCTGCCTATGCCTCCACACTCCGCCGCTCCGTTTCCAATCCCAAGCCTTCTTCGTGTTCGCCGGCTCTCAAAACCATCTCCCGTCAATCCTCGTCCTCCTCCTCTGGCGACGAAGACGACGACGACGACGCCACTCCCAATTCTAAGGTTTTCTTCCTTCACCTCCATCTTTCATTCCATTGATGACTTCGTCCGTATCTTTCATATGAACGCATGGTTCTTGAAAATGAATTTTTATTATATTTGCAGAGGCTTAGAAGGATAAAAGATCGCGTCAGAGAGATGAGCCTGTGGTTCCAACAAGTCATGCGTGAAAATGAAGATGATGAGGAGGAAGAAGAAGAAGAAGTGGAACGGGAACCTCCTCAAGAACAACATCATCAACAAAATGGAGACACTACTGAGGTTGGTAACTCTAACTCATCATATTTTAATCGTATCTTTACAACAACTGGTTGGTTGGTTGGTTCGCAAGAACTTAGAAATTACAAATCCTTTTTCACAAGTATTGGGTTCGGACTTAGAATTCCATTGATATCATCATCTCTTTCTTTCCGTTGATGAATTTGATGTTGCAGTTGCAGGTCGGTAGTGACATAAATTTTGCAGAATCTGTGAGCGTGGAGAGGATGGGGGATGGCTTAGTCATTCATTTCAGGTGCCACTGTGGCGTCCCCTATCAGTTCCTTCTTGCTGGGGGCAACTGCTACTACAAGCTCATGTAGATTTGTATTTCACAACCCCCTTTTACCACTAGACTAGTCACAAAAACCAGTTTTTATTCTGCCTTTCTTTTTTCCTTTTGCTCAAGTAGAAGTTCAGATGTGCAAACGATGGCATTAATTTGTTGATTCTTCTGGCTATATGGTTATTTTCTTTCTAATCACAATCTTACTCTTGGCAAGAAGAAATGTTCTGCTTTTTTATTCTACTTACTAATCACAATCTTATCAACTTTACCACCTGCAGTAACTAGAAGGGCTTACATAATCTTTTTTAAGGGCATTTTCTCATTCGAGGTATGAATATTACTTTTTTTAGAAGATCACACAGATTGTAACAAATTTTTAAGTGACAGTACCATATTTTTTATTTTTTTATTTTTTATTTTTGAAGAGAGACCTTGCGGGGAGGGGGAGGTTTAAAGTTGAAATGGCATTGGTATAATATTATTCACTTTGCAAAACAGAAGAGTTGCGCCTTGCGTATCAAGTAATGCTAAAGAGGGCGGCCCATATGCCACATCAAACCCATCATTAACGTAAAAAGAACGCACACAGCATATACAAAAAGACCAAAGAGGACCTCGTCACACAATGTGGAATGTACGGATTCAGGGGAAAAATTGACATGAGTCGTGGGGCCACGAAAGGACGAAAGAGGACCTCCAGTCCCCAACTTCCGTAACCGCTTACTTGAACACACTCTCCTCCCTTCCCTCTCTTCCATTTCTCACTCTCCACTAAAACCAACCAAACAGCCCTCACACTCACTGCAAATAAATTCAGAAATTCGAATTTCGAAGCTAATTCCAAAATGAAGTTTAAATCGATCCAAGCGATGCAAAACCTCCAAACGGCGCCGTACCTCAAGACGAAGAAGAAGCTCCGGTCGGAGCTCCCTCGCCGGAGGCGATCTCAGATCTCTCCGGTTCTGTACTCGTCTCTCAAGTTCAATGCCCCCAGTGAGACCTCTGGTTTCTCTTCCTTCTCTGTGAACTCGAACTCGTGCTCGTACTTCGGCGGTGAAGTTTCGTGCGAGTCAAGCAGAGTTTCCGTTGGATCTGAGAGCGAGGCGAGGTCGAGTTTGAGGAAGAGACACTTCGAAGAAACTGAGAAACACCGTAAAATACTGTTGCGTAGAGTTACTAGATCGTATTATGGAGGAAAGGCGGAGAAGAAAGAGGTCGGTGGAGACGGGGAACCAGAGGTTTCTGAGTCGTCGTGTGTGGAGTCCAATTCTGGAGCTGATTTTGGGGGTTTCGTAGACAGAAAGTTGAAGCTAAAGAGTAAGAGAGGAAAAGGAAGTGAAATTGTGAACGAAATTGGAGGAAACGAAGGTTCTGAAGCAGTTAGTAGACCAGAGATTTCCGAGTCCGATAAGGTCTCATTGGCATTCAAGGAAAACAAAGTTACGTCATTCAACTCTGGCATCGAATTTTGCTCTGAATCGAAATTAGCAGAGAAAACGGTCGAAGACGGCGAAAACAGAGCACCGGAATTTGAATTCTCTGGAATTTCGGAAAACTACTTCGGTGAAAATTTCGTAATTTCAAACTCTGAATCGAGGATAGAGCAGAGGCCAGACAGCTTGCAAATCGATTCTGACCTTGCTTGTAAGGAGCAGTTCTCCTACGACGACGTCTCAGAGTACTCTTCGAGTCAGACATTGTCGGAGCTCCAATCGAATATTTTCGACGAAAATTCCGAGCTCAGTCTCTCAGAGTACAGTCCGTCTATTTTCTTCAATTCTGGAAGCGAATTCTCGGAGCGCTCGGATGAAGATTCAACTCATTCACCTACTTTCACCTTGCTCCTTCAATACAGAGAAGAATTTACGAGATCGAGCACTGCTTTATATTTCATTGCTGCTTCCTGCGTTAAGGAACTGTATAAGGATGATTATACAGTAAGTTTTATCAAGTTTAGAATTACGATCTTAATTTTCCCTTGCTTTCCTGCACTTTCTCGCCAACCATACAGAAATAGATTGTTGATTTTTTTTCTTTTTTCATTACTGCTTCTGTATTGATTTTTGTTATTTTAATAATATTATTTTAGTTTCTTAAGTTCGAAGACGAGGAGGACGAAGCGAGCTATCAGCTGCTTAGGAACAGAGAGAGGATACAAGTATTTTTGCGAGACTACACGGAGGAGTACTCTTCCACGACGGAATGCGGCGATCTTATCCTCCAGCAACGGTGGCAAATGGTCCGTTGGATCGTCGAGGTGATTGGCTTTACTGAAATTCACGTTTCACTGATTAAGTTCAATTAATCGTCGTTTTCTATATTTAAATGAGGTCGAAGTTCAACTAATCGTCGTTTTTATCTATTTAAATTTGGTCGTAGTTCAATTAAGCGTCGTAATTAGTTCTGTTTGGGAATTGGACCTGCACGCGTTTATGGAAGTACATGCCGTTAAAGTAGCACATACTATCTACATTGACGATATTCTACAACCATTTAACATCCAATCAAATCTGTGGCACGTCATTGAATGGATGTGTTTGGCACTGAAACTGAATGCATTACTAGTTTTTATGTTAGGATCATTCATGTACTTTTTATCACAGGTACTGGCACATCACTAGTTTCGCTTTTCTCCTATTGGCCAAAGTAATACACATTTGTAATGTATAGGGAGATTAATTTGATACATTTGTGCGAAAAATGATTTTATGTAAATTTGATACATTTACGTGTCCAAATTCAATTTTACGGTAATCCTTCTTAGCTTAACTACTTCCATGTTGCCCCACACTTAGAACGCAGTAGTAGCACGTGCATTCGCACCAGTGATGGTGCGTATATAACATTTGTTGAGGGGCACTTGTTACTTGTTGGACAAGTCTATACACTCCACCATTTTTTGCGTATGTGCGATTAATTTCAAGAATTTCAATACAAAGAACTTGCATACAGCATACTGACTAGGGTGGATATCCAAACGGCCAATTAAGTAATTGGATCGATTTGGTTCAAAAAAAAAAAAAAAAAAAAAAAAAAAAAAAAAAAAAAAAGGATTAATTCATTCATATTAGTTTGGTTTAGTTCAATTCATTCTATATAAGAACAAGCTAAATCGAACTAAGCTGCATATTATTATTTATTTATTTTGGCACAAGGAGTTTTATATTGGTAATGATCATTTACTATTATGTTTCTTCCCACTATTTATATCAACATTTAATATAATTGTATTGTTAGTTTGTTACTTTAATGGAATGTTGAATATTGTTAGTGTACAAGAGATTTAAAAAGTAAAATGGTGAATGCAATGTTTGCTTTACATGTGCTTGAAATTGTTAAGATTGTTATGTTATTTTGACTCTCATGTATAGAATTGTTGTGTTGCACATGAGTATATTGGGTGGTGGCTATGTTTATACTTTGTTGGTGGATGTTCGAATGCCATTGTCAATTTGCTTTGCTTGACGTGCATTGAGATGTGAATTTAAGATATTGATGCTCTTAATGCTTTTTCTGATAAAGTGGTAATAAGAGATTGCATTATAGTTAAAAATAGTGTTCAACCCTCATCATTATAGTGGTTAATTTTCACGTAAAACTCTAATATTCCGTTTCCTGTGGGGGAGAGGGTGCATAGGCTAGCTCTGTATTTCTTATAATTAACGTTTTATTATCTCTTGTTATTGCGTTAATGCGGTGCTTCTGATTGGCTTTCAACAAGCAGCGATCGAATCAAACGAAGCTACAGCAGGAAACGAAGTTTCTAGCAGTTAGCCTCCTTGACCGATTCTTAAGCAAAGGATTTTTCAAGAGCAAAAGGATCCTTCAGATTGTTGGAATAGCCTGTCTAACTCTAGCCACCAGAATAGAAGAAAATCAGCCCTACAACTGGTATATCTTTATACTTTTTATATCATTCATGCATTTCTACCTAGTCTATTTCCTCATAAACCTGGTGTTGGGGTGTTTTTTAGCCCTTCTTTTTTTTTTTGGGAAATTAAAGCATTACTATAGATGAATACCAAAAATCAGAAGTTGAGGCAGTCCAATTCCTTCTGTAAGTGATTTGTCTGGAAATGAATGTATTAGAGAAACTGCGAAGTTGCTTAGAGCTCAAACTTAAAGCTAACCCACACCCCCTTTTGGTACTTCAATAAGAATGTAATTGAGACATGTCAAAGCAGGACGCATCATAATTACCTTCTAAATAGACCTTTGTTATGGCCATTTCAGCGTGCGGAAAAGGGATTTCCATGTAGGAAGCAATGTGTACAGCAGATGTGAAGTGGTTGCTATGGAATGGCTAGTTCAGGAGGTCCTCAGCTTCCAGTGTTTTCTGCCCACCATCTATAACTTCTTATGGTAACTCTCAGTCTCCCATTTTCTCCAAAGTACTACACTAGACAAATGCATGCTGCTTCTCTTGCATTGACAACCTGGCAAACTCAGGCTCCTGATCTTCTTTCTCTGCATATCTAGATTATCATTCAACTTTTATTTTATTTTTATTTTTTCTGGGCAAAGAAATTGTCTCTGATTTGAGAGGTTCATGACATCTTCATTCCATGAACTAATTGGATAACATAGGTTCTACCTGAGAGCTGCTAGAGCTGATGCCCAAGGGGAGAAGAGAGCCAAGTATTTGGCAGTGCTGCAGATGTCTGACCATGTGCAACTTCGTTACTGGCCTTCAACAGTTGCAGCTGCGCTTGTCATCCTTGCTTCTTTAGAAGGCAATCATGAGGCGTCCCGCCAACGAGTCATAGAGGTAACTGCCAGCATTTTTCTTTTAAACTACATTGAATTATAATGTAGAGGGATGCCATTATGTCATCATGAAGAACACCTCTGGTTCTTGATATCTCATTGATGCGATCTTATGGCTTTGCAGACTCATGTGAGAACAGAAGGTGATAATTTACATGAATGCATAGAGGTAAGGATAAAACATGAGATATTATAAAGTTCAATAATTTTACATTTTCATTTCTCCAATTAACTTACTAAGATTTCTGGTTGCAAGTCAACTATCGCGCCATCTAGCACAGCATAATTTCTTTTCTGTTTTTCTTAATATTTTGAATATATTGTCATTTTAAGATAGTTGATAGGTGCTGATGATGTGCTAACTTTAACAGAGCCTAGAGTGGTTGTTACATTATGTGTGACTTCTGTTTGCCGACTACCTCATCAAAAGAGATGGATGGAAGGTAGATCAAGGTAAAGCCTGATCAATAGGTAACAAAACAAATCTGATTTTTTCGTCAATTAAGACGACCGTGCAGCTACTTGTAAACATTTCATATAATTACAGAATTTGTAATAATATCTGATGGTCTCCAATGACCAAAAGTAAACTGTATGAATTTATGTTTGAAAAGTTCTTCACTACTCACCACGAATGTTTTACTGCTCTGTTTCTAGCATGCGTCATTATACCATACAATAGCTGCTTTGCTAAGAATTCAAGCATCATGATACCTTGAATGTCTATGCAGACTATTTTTGAGGGCTTTGACATGCCCCCCTAAAGTTGGAAGGTTTATATGTCCTTAAGCAAGCAAACGACTAAGCTTTATAATTCTGTTTGTTGACCATTCAAAATATTGTTCCAGCCAGACCAGTAAAGATAAATGACAGAATTTAATAGGATCGATACTGCAGAGGCATTGTTTACTCAGTTAACGTGTGATTGCTCTATTATTAAAAATAAAAGTAAAATTAATTTGAAGTTAGAAAGAAAATAAATGAACACCTGCATTTCATCTAGTTGCTATACAGTTTTGTAAACAATTAACTTAACTCTCACCTCGAACCATAAGCATGACTTTACAACAGGCTATGTAGTACACAATTCTTGTATGCAACAGACTCCTTGTACAAAACCATATGATACAGCAAACAGAACAATAATTCATCCATTTTGTCCAGACCAATCATTTAACTCCCAGCTTCGTGTCATCGGGATAACTGGCTGAAACTGCAGGAGGAACCCTACCAGAAGACTCATCAAGATGGGTCTGGGCAAAGTCGGTGATGACCTCTGTCCTCTGCCGGTGTTCGATCTCCTTTTTCTCCTCCTCGGCCCTGTCCACCTTCTCCTTGGTCATCATGCCCACATCCTCAGCTACCTTTGAAACTGCGCTGAGTGCATTTGAAACCCACGAAGCTCCAGTCAATATGTAAGGGTTGCTCATGAGAGCAGACCCTGCACTGCTTGCCTTCTGCTCAGCAACAGCAAAGGCAGATTTGGTCTTTTCCGAGACCATGAACCTTTGATCCATCTCCCTCACCTTTTCATTGACAACAGCTGTTCCAGCCCTTAGCTTCTCCATCAGACCCATCTTCTGGTCAATTGTAACAACTGTGGCAGAGGCATTTGACATTAGTTGATGCCTCTCATCAAAGGCTTTTGCCTTGTTAATGGCATCCTTTCCTAAGATGTAACCCTTGGCAAGCATAGCGCTGGCCACAGCTTCTGCCTTCCTTACAGCAGAAATAGCCACAGCAGGCTTTTTCTCCTTCAAAGGGGAATACATATTTAGTAAGAAACAATTGCTTTCTGGGACCAATTAAAACAAGAAATTCACATGTACTTGTGTACATGCTTCAGGCTATTAAGCAACAGAAAATCTTCATAGGCTAAAAAATTAGTGTTGCACTCTTGAAACACCACTAGACTGAAAGTTTGACCTCCAATTTCACGCTACACAAGACTAAATGGTTGGAAGATAATACAGATATGGATGCATGCCATGGTATTTACCGGGCTTGATGGGAGTGGGACGGCTTCAGGTGGCAGCTTATAATCGTCAACTGGCGTAATGGTGACAGAAAGATCAGCTACGGTGGCTCCCTGAATTTTAAAATTTTCAAAACACATTACTAATCAAATGACAGAACCCTGCAACTGCCTTACAAAACATTTACTGCATCAAAAAATTCAGAAAAAAATATAAGAACAAACGTCTGACCACCGTTATGAAAAAGTGAACATACCGAGAGGAGAACTGCTGTATCTGCTCCTTGTGAATCCTTGAAGGTAACATAGGCAAGCTGGGTGTTTTCAGTTTCTCTGCCAAAAGATACCACCAAATTTTTTAGAATAACAAACCTAATAACACTGTCGCCAATATAATTATAAAAAAATGTGAACCTCTGCATTTCAACATATTGTATATCTCCAGAGAATGAAAAGAATTCTTTGATATCCCTGTCAGAAATAGCTTGAGAGACATTGCTGACTTTGACTGTTTTTATCTGCAGAGGAAAATCAAGTGAGTGAATATGCATGTTTTAATCACACCAAAACCAAAACAAAAGGAAAAGATGTATACTTTTTAACATTTGTGCAAAATATTAGAAGTTAGAACACATACAAAAAAATTACAAATTTTCTCACATCTGAAACATTGGTTGTGGAGTTTGGTGTTGCAGTTGTTGACTGGGGACCTGCTTCAATCCCCTTATTTGCATGTTCCACCGGAGTCTGTACACAAAATTCTGAATTAAATAAATAATTCCAGGGTGAAATGAATGAAATAAACTCAAAATTCATAGAGTGATGATGACAACAAAGAAATGTAGAATGGTAAGAAAACAGGCAAGGCAATGAGGCAAAAATACAGACAGGAACATGTTGAATAATTGAAGATTTATTAGGGAAAGACTACCCCATGAAACACAAAACCCTAATGTAACCAAACAGAGCAATCATTGGATTTGGAGGCAGCAATTATTTCTAAACTTCATAATTTTTCTTATTTTCCCGCATTAACCCGGCAAACAACAAAGCAAAAACAAGAAGAAAACCAAGCACATTGCGTCAAACACCCTAATCAAAGAGAATGAAAACCCAATGGATGTGACACAAAGAGTACTAAGAGTAATATTTTCAGAAAGAAAAGAAAAGAAAAGAAAAAAAAACTTACCGACATTTCGATAGATTTTGCTTGAGAGGGAATGCACGTCCTTGTGTTGGTTGTAGTATTTTGTTCCTGTTTTCTCTATTTTTGGTTAATGCTTTCTTTGTTAATGGTAGTTTTATCTGTTTGCTTTTTTCTCAGCGGGAAGTTCGCTAATCACCAACTCGTTTTCAATTCGGCAAACTCCAACTCCATTTCTTGGGCTCTGTTTTTGGGTCCTAACATTGCCTGGATAGAGCTGTTACTGATTTCTCTTCTGTTCATTTTTGGGAAAAAATGATTCTATGGACGACTGGTTTGCCAAGTCAACCATGTCTATTTTCCTTTGGTCTAACGTCAACCATGTCAACAGAAAAAAACAAAAAAATGTATATATATATATATATATATATATTTGTGACGCCTGAAATTGTGCTTAAGATTAGTTTTTTTCTTTGGGGGTCAGTTTTGCTTTTAATTCAAAGTTGGATTGAATTGAACTTCGACCAAAAGCTTTTCTACAAGACAAAAGCAAAGATATGAAAGCCTGGCAAGCCGCAACAAATATATACATATGCTGCTGACCATTTCCAAGCAAAATATGAGAAAAGTTGATGGTCATCCATGTGCAACATAAGATGCACGCATTCCAGCAGTTACTGCATCGATTGGATTGGCGCTATTCTATTCTCTTCTAGGATATATTCCATTCACTTACAAGATAGACGACTTAGTGTATAATGTATTGCAGCCCTTTCCTTTCCCTTTCTGTCTGCCACATCCATATAACAAGACATAAACAAAAGATTGTTGCCATAATGCATAGGGAAAGCAGAGGGCCCAACCAAACAACTGACTACACACCACACCACACCACAAGGAACATGAGGCCATCACCAATCGGACATTGATTGAGACAAAGCTAATCAAATCTCCGGCTGCCAACAAGATAGAAAAAGTAAAGCAATAAAGCGGCCAGCCAGCCACTCATGCTTGCCAACAAAGCGAGAAACATTCCCACCAGACATTTTAAAAAAGTTTTCTAATCTTGTTCTGTAAAAAGATATATATATATATTTCATCCATGAGAAAATTAACAAAAGTATGGTAAATCCCAACAAACCCCTCAATTATCAACCATATGCTCTGCAGCATTACCACCTCTCTTATGCTGTACAAACTAAATCCCAATCAGAGATATGAGACGGATTTTCTTCAATCTAGATATAATACTAGCTGTGGTTTTATGGTTTTAATACTTAGATATAAACCAAAACTTTTATGACAGGTGAAAGGAAGCAAAAATATCACTCATCTTGTCTACCCATCTCAACAGAGAGGAGCTCTGTGAGGGATGCCTTTCCTCTTATGCAAAAGCTTTCTTGGCTTCAATGCTGAACATACCCAAGCAGTCATCTCCTCAGATGACTCAGCCAACGAGATTGATGATTCCATTTCGCTCATGTTTGTTTCGGAATTGCAGTTACCTTTTAATGAAAAATCACCATATTGTGGTATAGTAACCGCGATGAACTTGTGACTTTGGTCTTCAGGCTTCACTGGGACTATAGATGCCTGCAAATGTGTAAGCATGCACACACTTTATCATGAGAATCATGTAAAGAGAAATATACAGCACCAAAATGGAGCCCAAAAATTTGGAAATTCAATTACCTTGCAGGCAATGGAGCAGTAACGATTTGGCATGTCCTGCAGATATCTCCCACAAGCTTCACAGGAAGCACCAAACTTTGCTTTTGTTGATGGCTTGGCATCTTTGGCTAGAGGGCGAGGATTTAGATGCACAGCTTTCTCGCCGTTGATTTTATATGTCTGTAAGACGTCAAGTTGTCATTATTTGAGAACCAACAACCTCACCAAGAAAACAGTTAACAGTGATCAATCAAATCAACTATCCTAGGATTCCAGCTACCAGCAGGATTAAACCACATGAGAAATAAAACTGATGAATTTTGTTGTCTTATAACACTGACAGAATATGTACACCAATTAAAGCGCATTCAATTTGACTTGCCTACAAACTACACCACAAACACAAACCTTGAAATTTAACATCCCAAAACTATATAACAATCAGACAGCCGACTTAAATAATCATATATTAGTCAAATTGATGAGCCGTTCTTCTTTGGTAATTATACTGGTGTCTACTAGATTAACAGAGGAAATTCAAACAACAATTGTTCTTGACTAGAAACAACAAAACAAACACAGTTTAGAAAACCCAAATGCCATTTTTTTTTGTACCTGCAAATGAAATCACATCCAATTTGTAAGAGTTTTATGATTGAAGACAGAGAGTAGGAAGAAACCTGAATTTTAGAACAGTCAAGATGCTTCTGAATTTCTTGAAGGCGAACCACATCATGGTAGACGTATTTGCAGATCTGAAGCTTTGTGTGGAGGCAATGAGCCGTCATACAGTGCCTACAGAGGCGGATATTGCAATCTATGCAGAAGACATTCTTCTCATTTTTGCGAAGGTCATGATGAACCCCACAGGAACCGAAGAATTTGCTAAGCAAAAGGGTATTAAGCCAATCTGTTCTGTTTTTCTTTATACAGACTTTGCAGCCTCCCTACAAAACCAACGCATTCACTATCAAAATAAGAACAAACCATCCAACATCTAGACTTTGTCATTAATCAAGACTCAACATTTGATTGTTTAGCCTTCAAACTCAAAACCATGCAATCAAATTCACAAAACCCAGAACCAAATATCACAAATTTTATCAATTTACACCATATGGTAACATTGATACATGGAATCCAATAAAAATTCATACAATCAATTTGGAAATAACAATGATCGTAGTATAAAAGATTGAAAGCAGTCATATGCTTACCATTTCTTCAATTTACTTATGGACTGGATTTGAATTTGGTGTTATTGCAGAAGTTGATACTTGATTGATAGGGTGTGTGAGAAACATGAAAGAACTGCAGAACAGTCCACAAGGGTTGTGGTTGTGGGCGAGTGAAAGAGGAAAAGAGTATACAATGGAAAGTAAGTATAAATGGGAACCCAATTACTCCAGGGAGGCAATAGAGAGCTGTGTCCAATTTTCACATAATTATTATTATTTTTCTTCAATTTTCACAGAATTATTGGAAAAACAAAGCAATCCGCGGGAAGCTAAATATTTAATTTCCGTTGGATTAAACTTAAAATGCATCTGACGGTCATCGTTTGAGAACGTTTTATTAATTATGTACAAAATTAGTAAACTAATGAAAGGGTTAGGTCAGTGGATTTTCTTATGGGCCATCTCTAGGCAAAACCCTAGTGTTTGTGAAAGGTAAGAGCCAGACGAGTCGCTTTATGTCTTTTCCCGCCGAAATAACCGAGATTTTCGGAGCCGTTTTGTCCTTTTGATTTTAATTTCTTTTGGCATTAATGATTATTGGAGCTCTTGCTGCTTCTCTGACTTTGGACTGAAACTCATATTTGCTAGTTGCAATAATAAAACCAGTTATTTCAAGTGAAAAATATAGGGGGTGGAACAGTAATCACCCAATTTTTATTTTTATTTTTATTTTTATTTATTTAATGAAGGCACAATTGTGATTTGGTAATGGCCAACTGAAATTAAATAGGTTATTTGCTTCTATTGGAAAAGCAAAATATTGCCTATTATCACCGAAATTAAATGCATTCTACCGTTTTACCCTTTTTTTTTCCCTTCAATTGTTTGATGAGAAATCATTGTGCATTGTTTGTGCCTTAATTATTTCCACTATATAATAAGTCAGATCTTTTCATATAGAAAGTCAAATAAAAACATATAGGTCTTTGACTTTCATAGCCTCATTAAACTTTTTGTTCAAAACCCAAAAAAATAATCCTCTGCTGCTTCTAAAAGAATTCCTAAATTTACTCCGAGAATATACAAAATCTTGGCATAGATTTTATAATCTAGGACTGACAGTAAAACACGATAAAAGCTAGGAATATATATCTATATATTTTTTTTAGTCAAAACAAATAATATTACCCCTCTGTGGACAGAGTTGTAGTATTTTGCTTTCCTTTTTTTAAAACATTTTGGTTAGAAGTGCAGTGTTTGATAGGAAATAGAAATGTACAAAAACAGTTATGCACAATTATCTGTCTCCAGTAAACTTTCATCTTTATCTGTCTTTCACTTCAATTTAACCTCATCATATTATATTTACCAAAAAGAAAAACAGAAAAACCTCATCATATCATCTTTAGATTCTTAGCTTAATCAAGGCCCGAGAAAAAACCTAAAGGATGATGGCAAAGTGGGAAGAGTCCCCCCTTTCATTCAATTACTACTAGTACTACATTTCGATGGGCAAGGCCCAATAATCCACCACTTTTATAAAATTGGAGAATGATATTATTTAATTATCCTATCGTGGGAATTCAACTCGAGTGCATAGTGAAAAGCATATTATCGAGGGAATTGAACTCGAGTGTAAAGTGAATGACACATTATCTTGGCCAATTGATACCCAAACCGAACTTATTATGTTTTCAAAATCACACAACTCGCAGTAAAGCCAAATTCTGATTAGAAATAGAAGACAAGCATAGAAGCCCAAGCTCGAAAGTGTCTAGTCTCAACTAATACAAAACCAAACATAGGGAGGCTATAATGAGGAGTTAAAGTGAGGAGGCTATTTGAGGAGGCCAATTCCATCATAGATTCGTGATCTCAACGAAAGGACCTTGATAGTGCCCCATTGGTGGTAGTCTAGGCGACCCCAACGATGAAACATTGGAACTCTATCTCAGCAATCATGGTGGAGGGCATTTCAAAAACCCTAGAAAATGAGACGAAGGTTGAGCAAGAAATGGGGATCATAGTAGTACAACCATCAGAATGAAGTAGATTTTTCCTACATTCTAGAATTTACATTATGATGGGTAAAGTGTTGGAATTACCGTCTGATCAGATTTCTAATACTTGTGTTTTAGCGTTTGATGTAGGCAACAAAAATGCACTTCATAGTTTTTCAACATTTATCTTTTGTCAATTAAATTCTCATCCATATGCCCTAAAATCTCATTGTATCATCGATCAAGTGAATCGACCACTTAATTTCAGTTTTTGAAAATCTTGTGGAGGCGAAATGCTCTATGATCCTGATCATAGCTTTTAGTACCAAAAAGAAAGCCAAATGCTCAATTTATATTATTTGATAAGAATGGCTATGCTCCCTTAACATTTACCAAAAAGAAAGCGAAATGCTCCATTTATACTTCATCTGTGCATGAATGCCTCAAGTTGAATAATTTAGAGTGCTTTCAAATAGGCATTTTATGTCAATTAGAGACACGACGATAGTTCATACCACTCCTTACATTATAGAAAGGCTTATTATCACAAAACGTCCATAAAGTTTACGAAACTATCATATTGCATCCTTAATGTTTTTTTTTGTGTCATTCATGGTTCTCAAGGTTAGTATGTGTGATCATAAATGATCTCTGCCGTTAGGTTCCGTTAAAAACTCCGTTCGTTTGCTGACGTGACATATACATATATCACAAACCATCCCTGAGGTTCACGCACCTATCACAAATGGTCCATACGAAATTTTTTTTCATTTAAAATTCATAAAATTTTGGTTTTCTTTTTAAAATTTTATGAATTTTAAATTATTTAAAAATATATATATATTATATTTTAAATACATGTGACACTATATTATTGTAGATGTGAGCTCCATATATATGCCACATCAACAAACTAATTGAGTTTTCAAAAAATAATTTAAAATTCATAAAATTTAAAAATGAAAAAACTAAGGGTTTAGGGTTCATGAATGGTCCTCAAGATTAAAATCCTTCTATAAATGGTTTTTTCATTTATAAATAATTTTAAAAAGAAAACCAAAATTTTATGAATTTTAAATGAAAAAAATTTGTATGTACCATTTATGAAAGGTGTGTGAACCTCAAGAATGTTATATATATATATATATATGCCACGTCAACAGACTAACGGAGTTTTTTACAGAACCTAACGGCAGTGACCATTTATGATTGCACATACTAACTTTGAGAACCACGAGTGACAAAAAAAATCATTAAGGATGCAATCTGATAGTTTCGTAGACCTTATGGACGTTTTGTAATATTAAGCCTTGTAGAAATGGAAAGGTTGTGGCATTTACCTTTGTTATACACAGTGGCAACTCGAACCGGCAACCAACCCTTGTTTTGTAACAAAATTAGATGGTAATAACCATGCATAACTTAGACTATAAGGCTACATGATGTTCTGGCCAAAACGAGAAATGACCAAAATATGGGTTTCTCTAGCTTATGCTGTCCTAAACACCACATATCTTTGGAGCCCTCTGATGGTCTAACACATAATTCCACAGGAACCTCGGCCTTCGACTGCTTAGGTGAGGTTCCCTTGAGTAGAATTAACAGAACACTTCTTTACAATCAACCTATCAATCATAATGAAGATGGTGTTTCCTCCTCCTGCACCTATTGACATACCAACTGGCATGTTTCTGGAGGCCCATGCCTATCAACACCTTGAGGCTTGTCAGCATAACATAGGTCATGGCAAACAGGACAAGAATCCAAAAGAGTTTCCACGGAAGGGGACTGTAGGGAAGGCGAGCAGCATACACTGGAGTAAGCACTCGGATGACCTAAAACAAAGATAGTAATACTGATAAGGATTATCATTTAATAATTAATATTAATAACAATATTCACACCCAAAATTCAATATTTTAATGTGTTTAAGAAAACTCCATTTTCGACCCATCTCCCCCATTGGTTCTCACCAAAATGGATGTCATACACATTGATTGCCTTTTTATTTTCAACGCAGCACAAATCTTATATCCTAACCCTAATTCTATGTATAGTATCAGCAACTAGTGAACTTTTTACACCACATGTAGCATTTTCTAGATGAGTAATTCGGCGCTGCATTTAAATGCAAAGGCTATATTGTCTTAAACTACCTGTTTCATTCTATGCATAAATTTTTTCGGATTTCTCAATCTACCATAGAAAAGTGGGGATGAGTTCAATCATGATAAGAAATGCGAAGATAAGTATTAACAAGTGTCTTACCACACAAGCTGGTGCCAGAGGAATGAATGTGAGATTTTTCTTTGAAGCCTCTGTTTGTATATTTAAAGTCTAAGGATAAGAAAACAGAGGGTCAGCTTTTTAGAACACAATATCCAGAAGGGGAAATAGTATTCAGTGTTTATAATGTTGTAATGGACATCATCTATATGTACAAAGCAAAGAAATTATATCGGTATTATGGTTCACTGCACAGCAGTTAAACATTCTCAAGACTTGGCCAGCATGTGAGCACACAAAAATATCCATTTCTTTGAAGTGAAGTGCAATGGACCTATATTATTTCCCCCTGGTATATAGATATAGTCACACCAAAGATACATGTAGAATACCTGCTTGCAGAGGTCTTCAAGAAACTCAGAGTATGCAATGGGCTTTATGTCATTGAATTTAGCAATAAATGAGTGCTTTATGATATCAATAATCATTTCACAGACGTATACCAAGAGAGCATTCTGCAGTACCCAAATGTTAAAACAGTTGCTGCGCAGAATTTTATTTATTTATAAAGAACAATTTCTCATCAAAATGTTTAGGTAAACTTACAGAAAGAAAACTTTCAAACCAGGGACCCTCAGCCTCCAGAATGTTTTGAGCTAAAACGAATAAGACAAAAGCTGAAATGTGGAATCTCTCTACTGAATCTGTTCGCAAGAAAACAAATATAAAATGAGTTAAAAAAAGAATGTCAGACCAAATGAAAAGATTGAACCTGAGAGAGAAACTAGACACCAAATATAGCGAAGTGGCATCCTTTCTTTTTCTCAACCACAGAATGCAGAAACATGAGGGAAATTAAAAGCATTTTAAATCTTTTGCACCAATGTGTATACTGGGATTCTGTATATTAGCCTCTTCCCAGACTGGAGACCAATCAACAATAAAATAGCAATATAGCCATCATTTCGAATAGATATGAGAGATTTATACATGCATCTTGAAGTTTAAGAAACTCATAGGACATGTTCCTTGGGGTCATACAAGAAAAGCATGCTCACACAGAGATTTGGGCCTGTGTTCTTTTCTGTAATCATCACATAATATGGGACTCCTTATACACATTCTATTTTCTCTATGCAACAACATTATCTTAATAATCATTGGTGAACTTGGGACACCATACAATGATCTTATAGCTTTATACATTGCTGTGAATGCATGTTAATCAATCACTTGTAAAAATGAAGGCAACCAATAATTTATTAAATAAAGAAAGAAAGCAGCTCAAAGACTTTTTATGAAAAATATAGCAAGTATGATGACTTGTTATTAATTGGAAAAACGAGGTAAAACTTTATGAAACCAAAAAGTTCCCAAAATCTTGTCTAGCCTCTGCAATATAATAGGTCTATAGTAGTTTAACTAGGACAGAAGACACAAAATCACTGACACTAATCAATTCATGTTCATATATAACCAAAACGTTACAATTTTTCTACCCAGCATCTGAGCTAAACTTTAGTAGTAGAAAGCACATTGTAGCAAATGATAAGTATTCTTCCTATACTATAACTCTATGAGCAGGAATGCATCAGTGCTTGTTAGAAAAGATGAAGCCAGCGAGCTTGCAATGTTTTCAGTGGCTAAGACTACAATATTTTGTTTTATTTAGCTACTGAAGACGCAAATTAAAGCAAATAGACCATAAAATATTGGCAAGAAGCTAACTCACCAAAGTATACCAGACTATGAATGTTGTCTTTGCTGTATCGCTTAAATACATTGCTTTTTATCTCAGCAAAGTTATTGGATACCAGCAAAGCCAACAAGGCATTATTGTGAGCAACTATGCAAGTTGACAAAGTAATTGCCTGAGCTAATAAGATAAATGAATGAATAAGTACGTATAGTCAAGGAATCCATAGGTTATCCATGAAAAATGGAGGGAATTTTTGTTTGAGAAAATGATAATTTCCAAATTAAGGATATTTGAGGCTGCCACAGCTAAAGCTTGGTCGCAAATGAATCTCCATATCCAGAATCTCATGTTTTCTGGTGGGCAACTGGCAAGCCCCTCTGCCGAGTTAAATAGAGTTTGCAATACATCTGGGTTAAAACTTTGACAGAGTTTATCAAATATCTGTATGGAGAGACAAAAACTGTTATGCACGAGTTACAGGTAGAACACAATAACAAATAATGCACTCAAGAGCATATCAAGTTGACAGACCACAACCACCATGGCCTGTTCATCATAGATTAAGCATCCTAAGTCCTAACAAGGTAGAATGTAAGAACGAATCAGACTATTAACCCCAGCTTAAGTTAATAACTGTTTACCAGCCAGGCCATAAGATGCTATGTTTCATCTATTTTAAATTTTCCCTTTGTTGGTCCAACTGCAAGGTACACAGAAAGTAACTCTCTATAGACACAAGTATCACAAGATCATAAACTTTAATTACCTCCAACACATTGTACACCACATATAATTTGATTGTTCCTTGACCGCGGATCATGTGATATATTAAGCTGATATCTGAGGCAAGAAAATAAATAAATAGTACAATTAGTATACTACATCCAACTCTTGCTCTAATTAATGGGATCAGTCATCAGATTGTAAGAATGCCAGCATATTGGCTGCAATAAGACACTACGTGAGAGAATAACATAATTATATTGTTAACTAACCTGTTTGCTCCAATAGAGTGACTCCACAAGCCATTATAGTAAAACACCCAAAATCAGACAGCTCTGCTGCAGATGGCCTCTTAAACTGCCTGCCACAAGTATGGTTAGGTTACGTTTTGAATATCACATTTATTATGATTTAACCAAACACACGAAGAAAACCAAAAAACGCAGCATGGAAACTGAGTTACACTAGTGGCTCAGACTTCGAAGCACTGGAAGGACTCAGATTGTTTAAATGGAATGACCCAATTTTATGACATGAATGGAGAAGGGAAGAGTGAACAAAGAAAACTAACCTTGAATGTAGAAGCCTCCAAAGAGTCATTACAATTCTTGTTGGCATGATAGTGAGCAATGACAGAAATGAATCAAAACAGACGAAAAAACCAACGTCTATAAGCTGCAACAAAATTGGTCATAGTTGAGACACAGTTTTATACACATGTTATCAAATCAAGGGTCCAGAAAAAAAAAAATAGCTGCTTAAAATACCAATTCACATCTCCATGGTAAGCGGAAGATGGTGTCATAAACTCTCTCTCGTTCTTTCTCATTGCCAAGTGTTGTTGTGCTCCGCAATGAATTCCCATTAGACATCTCTTCCATGAAGTACTTGACTGGCGACTTGTCCACTGAAAACAAATCTGAGGGAAATAGTTTTGAACAATTATTTTGAAAGACAGAGGAAGAAGAAGAATTTAAAATGAAACACAAATTGTATGAGAGAAACAAATAAAAAAAAATAGGCTCACAATTTGGATCTTCGGCCATGAGTCGCTTCCAATCCAAAGACTCGGCGGTCTGCAATTTCGGGACCGCGTTCCCATTTGGCTCGCTTCTCTGCTTACTCACCGAACCCGCCTCCACTCCACTGTCCTCCTTGTCCTCGGCTTCAATGCGGGACGACGTCGTTTGCGTTTCACCGACAACTCCTCCGGCGCTCCCATTGACAGGCCTCTGTCTCAGTGCCGCTGTGCCACGCAATTTCTGAAACTCCGGATCGCTGAGCTCCGTAGTGGTAGGGCACAGCACGGTCTGACTGTAACTGAATTCCAATCCGCTTCCGTTAATCCCGCTGGTTTCTCCGTTTTTGCTACTGGAATTGTGAGGGAAGGAATTCGAAACGGTTGCGTTTGTCGGGATTTCGGGTATGGAGCTGTGGGTGGTGGTGGTGTTCTTCTTCTTCTTCTTGCGTTTTCGTCGGGCGGGCTTGTCGTTGTTGTGGTGATTGGATTGGATTGGATCTGAGTTGGATCGGTAGAAGATTGCTTCTTCTTCCTCATCGAGGGAGCCGTTTCTGCTCAGAACATCGAACGAGAGATTTCGGCCGGTCGATTTCAACGCCATGACCTTGAGAGCTTCTTTTTCTCCTTCAGTTTATTGGGACATTTTAGAATCGGAGAGATTCATACTGGAGTTGTTTGTGAATTATAATAATAGGAAGTGAAGGAGCGAAAGAATGAAGGACACTGAGATTCAGAGACCGACACTCTGCTTTTCTTCTTTTGTTAGTTTTTGAAGTTTATTCCTGTTTTAGGTGCCGCTGGGCTCTGCCATCTAATTCTTCAACGTGCTGGCTGGCTCTGGTTGTTGTTGTTACACTGTTGCGCTGTGCGTCTGGGTTGGGTTTTTGGTTTTTTTTTTTGTTTTTTTTTTTTTTTTTTTTTTTTTTTTTTTTTTTTTTGGGGGGTAGAGGGTTGGGTGGGTTTCATTTCATTTGCGTAAATTTCCCAATTTACACGCTATCCGATACACCCTAGCTATGTGCCACTGTGACATGCCACATGTTTAAGAAATATTGATGAATTATTGGGCTCTCTTTTTTACCTTTCTTTACGAGGAGAATTGGGCTATTACCTCTCATTTTTAAAATTTAACTTTACATCCAGAAATCTCTCAAATAAAAAATTATTTGAGAGATTCTCTTTAGAGTATTCTATGAATTTTTTTATCAACGATCCAAATTATTTATTTTTCAAGTATTCATTCAAGGATCATCCTTGCAAAAAATCAGACAAATTAAAAATCTTTAAGGCATCTAATTGAAACTAACAAAATCAATAAATACGATGCTTCAAAAAAGTACTTAAATTTTAATAATTTAATTGAATGGTTAAAGGATATCGGATTCAAGTGATTTATTGTAGAAATGATTTTTGAATGAATATCTACAAAATAGACAGTTTGAATTAGTGAAATACAATGTGGAGTGAGCCATACAAAGGTATCCCTCAAATAAATTATTAGGCCGCAAATAAAGAGTGTCCAAGATTTTTTATTTTTATTTTTTATATTTCTTTTCTTTCCATGTGTTTGATTTAGGCCGCAAATCTTTCTTCTTTTGGGCAAAATGGTTGGAGGATGACAGTAGGACTGTCCTTCCATTATATATGATTTTATTTTATGTAAAATAACCCTCAAGCTCAACATACCTTTTGTATGAAGGCAATGGCCATGCTAGCGGTTTACCTTCATTCCTAACTTTTTATTCATCCTCAGTTATTTCTTTAAAAATAAGAAGAAAATAAAACAAAAAACACAATTTGGTTCCATCTGTCTTTTATTTTATAAAATTCAATCTGATTTATAAGCATAATTGTATGTAGCTTTATTCACATCTTGGCTCTTGTACTCTTAAGATTTTATTATACAATTTCTAAGGCCCAAATTTTGGGTTGGGCACTAAAATCATAACTGCACAAGGACGAGTGTTTTACAACAGGCCCAAATTCGATCCACTGTCCGTGGGAATTGGGAGTGACACAGTCAGACAGCAAGCAACTACTCTACGACATTATTCTAGTCCGGAGTCTAGTCGTCGGTGAGGAAAAATATTGTGGGCTTTTTTGGTTCAGTGATATCCACCGTCCCCTCCAACATCTTAGCCACCTTCCCCATCGACGGCCTCAACTCCGGTCGATCCTGCAGGCACCACATGGCCGTTTTCACCATGCGATTCACCGTATCAAAATGCAGCCGGCTATCATAAGAATGCTTGATCTGACGGTCTAAAATGTCCTCCACGTTCATCTCCTTAAACACCTTATCAAAAGCCCATCTCGGAAAATACCAGTCCTCGCTCTCGATCCTTGACCCTTGGATCTCGTTGTTTCTGACCCCACTCACAAGTTCCAACAAAACCATCCCGAAGCTGTACACGTCTGCCTTGGGTGTGATCGGGTCCATCTTCACCCATTCGGGCGCCATGTATCCGCGGGTCCCCTGCATCCGAGATATGGTCACCATGTCCTCTTTCTTCTTCAGCTTCGCCAACCCGAAATCCGATATCTTGGGGCAAAAATCGTCACCCAAAAGTATATTCTCCGGCTTGATATCACAATGCAAAACCCACTCCAAACACTCCTCGTGAAGATAAGCAATGGCTCTCGCCACGCCCAATGCAATCCTGTACCGGATCCCCCAATCCAGTATCGGTTTCTGACCGTTATCCACCAAAACACCTGTTTCTTCCTCATGCTCCGAAGACACAACCCGACCCGGTTGGAAAAGGTACTTGTCGAGGGACCCGTTAGGGACGTACTCGTACACTAGGATCCGTTGACCTTTCTCAGCGCAAAAGCCCCATAGGCGTACCAAGTTGAGGTGGTGCATCCGAGCAATAATAGTCACCTCAGCCCAAAACTCAGCGTCACCGCCGGTGACATGCTTCAAACACTTGACGGCCACAACGCGCTGGTCGCTCAGCTCTCCTCTGTAAACATCGCCGAAGCCTCCTCTGCCTATGAGATTTGAGAAGTCTTTCGTGGCTGCTTTGAGCTCGGCGTACGAGAACCGCTTGGGCCCGCCAGCGGGAAGGAACTCGAGACCCAGGGTACGGGCCATGTCTCTGTACTTGATGTATTTCTTTATGAAAGCCCAGAAGAAAAGCACCCCGGAGATCAGCTCAGCTGCAAAAAGGGTACAGATGATCACAATGTTTCTTGTCGTTGCGTTGGATTCTTGAGGCGGTAGAGGGAGGCGTATCTGAACGGGACATGTCGTTTCTAGCAACTCCGTCATCCCGGTGAAGTTGGTCGGGTCGGCTTCCGAGTTGTCCACCCGAAGAAACATAGCGGTTTCGGAGTCCGGAGACCAGTACCCGTATAATAATCTATCGAGTTGAAGCACACAGTAGCCTTTGCCGTCGTATTTGAACATGAACCCGAGACAATTGTTTTTAGCCAAACACCTCGATTCACAAACACTGAAATTAGTGGCTGGCCAATTGGTTTGGTTCGACCCACCTGTGAAATTGACATAATCAAGCCGTAGAAATTTGGTGTTGGCGAGATTCGTGAGCTCAATTTTCCTTTCGCATCCACTATCTTTGATTCCACCGTCGGATTCTTTAAACCCAGGTGGGCATACACAGTATGAAGAACTCGAACCATCGCTGACACATATGGCATTAGTCCCGCACATGCCGTGAACTCTGCACAATTCGTACCCTGCTTGCCAAACGACGGTCCATTCTCTAGGGCTCTGATCGAAACTGTAAATTCTGAGATTCCCATCGTCGTCTATGGTCAATCTTCGAGATCGGTTCAGCCCGAAATCGGACACAATGAATGAATCTCCATTTTCCTGCTTCAGTGTTCCGGTGGAGTCCAGCATCTGGAAAGCGTTGTCTATGGTTTGATAAACGTCGGTCTGATTGAAAACTAATTTGCTTGCGTTGACGAAGCTGAACTTGCCATTCTTGGAGAAGAGAGTCATGTTAGTCCCTGACATACTCTGGTTTGGCAATATGGTATCGGTTGGAAAATCAAAACTCTCCCACTTGCCAAAGATCAAATTACCGTCGTTGCGGAGGACGAGTCTGGTGGTGTTTGGATTCTGTAAGTGAGGTCCTGGCCACAAGTTTACATTTCCACGAGCGGAGGAGTTGCTGAGACGGAGCACGCCGGCGGCGGTGACGACAAGGCTTGCCGTGAGGCCAACCGGAGTCGTTGCGTTGGTGGACCAAACGACAGAGTCTCCTATGGAGATGTTGCGGTACCAGACTGAGAAGTTGAAGAGATTTGGGGAAGTGGGTAGGGGAAGAAAACCGGCGGCGAAGACCGAGTTTGGGGAGAGGAGGGTTTTGTTCTGCTGAGCTGGAGTCCATGGGGGGTCTGTGATAGAGAAGGCGGAGAGTTGGGCTGAGCATGGTGGCGGGTTTGAGACGATGAAGGTGATAAAGAATAGAAGAGGAAGGAGGAGGGGAGACATGGTTTTGGGATTCGTTAATTCATTAATTCCATAGATTTTCTGCGTGGACTGAGATGATGTGGGGATTGGAGGTGGAGGGGAAGTTTGGTTGGTGGTATTTTAATGGCGGCCGACGCAGGTTTGAAAGACTTGTCTGCGTTGACTTGGAAATTTGGAATTGGGACTGACTGCGAGGTTTGGCACGGAGCAATGGGAAAGCTGAACTTTCCAACAGTGATCCCGCCACTAGTTGATGTATTTATTTGTTAATAATACAACTAATCTTAATTAATTAAACACACAAGTTGGAAAGCAAAGCAACAAAACAGAAAGGAGTAATAAATTAGAGGTCTAGAACTAGAAGGCGTGTCCAAGTATCTTTGATTCTTGGGTCAATCAATTTCGTGTTTGCCGTAAAACTCACGATCTTCAATCGAGAGGTGCCTTGTTGACCTGGGCTGGACTTGTTTCTTCTGCAGAGCCACACATGTGTTCTGGTCAGATCTGCTCAACAGGAAATACCGTCTGAGGAAAATATCTTACACATTTAGACAGAGGATATGGGTATAAAAAATAAATAAATTACTAAAGGTGTTCAATTTTATTTCATTAATTACTTTAGATTTTTTTTTAAGTCAAATAATGCTACTCTTACCACATTTGTAAATTATTTTTTTATATCATCTTATGTGACAATTGAGGTGGATAATCACATCAATTAAAATTATTTAATATTTTCTTTTCTTTTATAATTTATTCTTGTATTAGTTTTTGTAATTGCCTTAATTGAAATACACTTCATTGATTTAATTGATGTGACATATAATATGAACATGCCACATCATGTGGTATAGAATTGTGAGATAAAAATGTGGTAAGTGTAGCATTACTCTTTCTAAGTCATAACGTTTGTCAGCTCGTAATATAATCAACATAAATTACTCAAACCTACTATGCAATACATTTCATTCCAATCTTGTGTTAAAATAATAGATAATTAACTAAATAAACTTTATACAAAGTTTCATTAAAAATTTCCATGTATTTATCACAATTTCCATGGTTTTTATCCAATTTTTATCGATATTGATATTTTCCCGATATTTCCATTGATATTTCTGTGTTTTTGAACCACCGATATTTCTAAAATCCTTGAT